AAGGAGGTGGTAGAGAGAGAAAGGAGGCAGGGAGAGGTGAGAGGAAAGGGGAGGGAGGGTAGGAGAGGAAAGGAGGCAGGAGAGGTAGAGAGGAAAGGAGGCAGGAGAGGTGTAGGTGAGAGGAAAGGAGGCAGGGAGGTAGGTGAGAGGAAAGGAGGCAGGAGAGGTAGGAGAGAGGAAAGGAGGCAGGGAGAGGTGAGAGGAAAGGAGGCAGGGAGAGGTAGGGAGAGGAAAGGAGGCAGTGAGGCAGGAGGAGAGTAAGGAGGGGAGAGGTAGGAGAGAGGAAAAGGAGGCAGGGAGAGGTAGAGAGAGGAAAGGAGGCAGGGAGAGGTAGGCGAGAGGAAAGGAGGCAGGGAGAGGTAGGTGAGAGAGGAAAGGAGGCAGGAGAGGTGAGAGAGGAAAGGAGGCAGGGAGAGGTAGGCGAGAGGAGGCAGGGAGAGGTAGGTGAGGGAGGAGGCAGGAGAGGTGTAGGTGTGAGTCATAGAGGCAGGCAGGAGGGACACATGACCTAATATAGAGCCTCTTACTGACCTCCCCAACCTCTGTGCGACGTCTTTCTCCAGACACAGAGTAACATACCCCCTGTAATCTCAATACAACACACACACACACACACAAGTAAATATGACCTCAATACAACACACACGCACACACACACACACAGAGGTAAATATGACCCTCAATGCACACACACATACACACACACAAAACACACACACACACACACACACACACACACACACACACACACAGGTAAATATGACTCAATACACACACACACACACACACACACACACACACACGGGGGATATATATTCGCCTGGGGGATGTTGGCACGACAGTGATGGTTCTGTAGTGACGTTATACACACACGCTCTCTCTCTCTCTCTCTCTCTCTCTCTCTCTCTCTCTCTCTCTCTCTCTCTCTCTCTCTCTCTCTCTCTCTCTCTCCCTATGATCTGGAGAGTACCAGGCGGGGGGCAGAGTGAGGCCAGATGAACAGGATGAGACAGGGCAGGATGAGGCGGGGGCAGGGTGAAGCGGGGCAGGGCGAGGGAGGCATGGTGGGGTGAAGGGGCAGGTGAGGCGGGGCATTGTGAAGGGGGCAGATGAGGCGGGGCATGGTGGAAGCGGGGCAGGGCGAGGCGGAGCAGGGCGAGGCGGGGCAGGGTGAGGCAGGGTGAGTGCGGGGTGGGGTGAAGTGGGGCAGGTGGGCGGGCAGGGATAGGCGGGGCAGAGTGAAGCGGGTAGAGCGAGGCGGGCAGAGGAAGCGGGCAGGACAAGTATACCCACACCACACCACCTCCTCTGTCGTCAATGAGATGCTTATTGTGGCGTGTGCCTCCCCCTCCCTCCCTCCACCACCACTACCCCCCCTCCACCACCACCACCACCCCTCCCTCCACACCACCACCACCCTCCCTCCACTACCACCACCCCTCCCCCACTACCACCACCCTCCCTCCACTACCACCACCCTCCCCCTCCACTACCACCACCCCTCCTCCACTACCACCACCCTCCCTCCTCCACCCACCATCACCCCTCCCTCCACCACTCATCACCCCTCCCTCCACCACCACATCACCCCTCCCTCCACCACCACCACCACCCTCCCTCCCACCACCACCACCCCTCCCTCCACCACCACCACCCTCCCCTCCACCACCACCACCCTCCCTCCACCACCACCCCTCCCTCCACCACCACCCCCCCTCTCCACCACCACCACCACCTCCTACTCACCACCCTCCTCCACCACCACCACCCCTCCCTCCACCACCACCCCTCCCTCCACCACCACCTACCCCTCCCTCCACCACCCCCCTCCCCCCCACCCCTCCACCACCACCACCCCTCACCTCCACCACCACCCTCCTCCACCACCCCACCACCCCTCCACCACCACCACCCTCCCTCTACCACCACCCTCCCTCCACCACCACCACCACCCCTCCCTCTACCACCACCCCTCCCTCCACCACCACCACCCCCTCCCTCCACCACCACCCACCCCCTCCCTCCACCACCACCACCCCTCCCCTACCACCACCCCTCCCTCCACCCGACCACCACCCTCCCCCACCACCACCACCCCTCCTCCACCACCACCACCCCTCCTTCCACTACCACCACCCCTCCTCCACTACCACCACCCTCCCTCCACCACCACCCTCCCTCCACTGCCACTCAATTCCCTCCCTCCACTACCACCACCCTCCTCCACCACCACTCCCTCCTTCCACCACCACCCCTCCCTCCACCACTTTTAAGTACAATGTTGATATTGCAGTTTATTAATCCACCATCACCTCTCTCTCTCTCTCTCTCTCTCTCTGACAATACTAGCCTTGGGTCTTAGATAAGTGTACAGGTGTGGACACAATTCCCAAGACACATTTTGAAATATGTGACGTCATCTACGTGAGGGTCGTGAAGGCAGAGCAACACGATTGTTTAACACTCTTCTGGGCGTTAGGTTAGGTTAGGTTAGGTTAGGTTAGGCTAGGCTAGGCTAAGTTAGGCTAGGTATTACTCGAGTGTCCAGGTGAGCTTTGTATACCTGTGTGTGTGTGTGTACATGTGTGTATCTACCTGTGTGTGTGTGTGTACCTGTGAATGTGTACCTGTGTATGTGTACCAATGTGTGTGTGTGGCCTATGAGTATTTACCTGTGAGTGTGGTAGTGAGCAAAAACCACATCACAACCTTAACAATGTAATGAGGAGTTGTATTGTGAATAGGAGATAAAGTATACAGTGGATATAATGACGGTCAAGTATACTGATGGTCGCTATACATTATATATCTCGTTTGGTTTACGGGTGGTGGTGTTATTTAGCTCAGACACAACACTGAGAGGCAGCTGGTGATGTTATTGATGTATTTGTGTGTTTTACTGTGATGTGGACCTGACTTTTATTACGAAGTCCTGTACACGTTGTTAGAGAGAGAGACAAAGAGCACACACTAACAAGAGACTCCACTGAATTACACACACACTTACACACGCACACACACACACGCACACACACACACGCACACACACACACACACACACACACACCGAGTGAGAGTGGGTGAGCGAGTCCCTGACCACTGCTGTAGTTCAGATCCTTACTGTAGCTCTCAGTCTCACTTGTTCCCTCAACCGTTCAGGGCCAATGGGGGTGAGGGAGGTGGAGGTGAGGGGAGTAGAGATTAGGGTGAGGGAGGTGGGGGTGATGGGGAGGTGAGGGAGTTGGGGGGATGGGTGGGGGATGGAGGTGGGGGTGATGGAGGTGGGGTGAGGGAAGAGGTGGTGGGGTGAGGGAGGTGGGGGAGAAGGAGTAGAGGTGAGGGAGGTGATTGGGTGAGGGAGGGGATGGGTGAGGGAAGTGAGGTGGGGGGATGGAGGTGGAGGTGGGGAAGGAGGGGTGGGAGTAGGGTGTGGGGTGAGGAAGGTGGGGGGTGAGGGGTAGAGGTGAGGGAGGTGGGGTGAGGGGGAGGTGGGGGTGGGGGGGGTGAGGAGTAGAGGTGGAGGTAAGGGAGAAGTTGGGGTATTGTCACCACCACCTGTCGCCACCATCACCATTCCTCTCCTCATCTCTCCTCACCTCACCTCACCTCTCACACCTCACCCTCAACATCTGCAGTAATGTGTGTGTGTGTGTGTGTGTGTGTGTGTGTGTGTGTGTGTGTGTGTGTGTGTGTGTGTGTGTGTGTGTGTGTGTGTGTGTTTTAATCTTGTTTGTAATAGACAGGAGGAATGACAACCAGCGTCACAAACTTGAACCTGGTCCTGTCACCATCATCTGTCCTGTCACCATCATCTGTGTCACCATCATCTGTCACTGTCACCATCATCACTGTCACTGTCACCATCATCTGTCACTGTCACCATCATTTGTCCTGTCACCATCATCTGTCCTATCACCATCATCTGTCCTGTCACCATCATCTGTCCTGCCACCATCATCTGTCCTGTCACCATCATCTGTCCTGTCACCATCATCTGTCCTGTCACCATCATCTGTCACTGTCACCATCATGACCATTACTGCCGTCATCAGCATTACTATCACCGTCATCTGTCACCATCACCTGTCGCCATCACCTGTCGCCATCACTTGTAACTCACTATCACTGTCACCATCATCATCATTGCTGGCATCATCATCATCACTAGTGATGGTGGTGATGGAGGTGAGAGTATTATTGGTGATGGTGTGATATTGATATTAGTGGTGATGTGATAGTGATGATAGCGATAGCAGTAATAGTGGTAGTAGTATTGGTAGTAGTTGTAGTATTGGTAGTGGTTGTAGGAGTGGTAGTGTTAGTAGTAGTTGTAGTAATCATGTTAATGGTGATAGTAGTAGTAGCAATGCCATCGCTGCCCTTGCAAGAAAACTAGCATCCTCGTGCTGCCATCACCTCCATGCTCTGACAGCCTGCCGCATCATTCCCCTGGATAAGAATCCAGGATGTAGGCCAATAGGTGTGGGGGAGTGGCTGAGACGGATCATCGGAAAATGCATAATGGAGGTGGTAAGGGATGATGTCAGGGCAGCAGCAGGGAACCTGCAAGTCTTTGCTGGCCACCAGGCTGGAGGAGATGCTGTCATTCACGCCATGAGAACGATATTTGAGCAGCGTGATTGTGAGGCCATTCTCCTGGTTGACGCTTCCAACGCATTCAACATACTTAACCGCAATGCCGCACTGCACAACATCAAGATCAAGTGTCCAAGCTTTGCAATGTATGTAGAAAACACCTATAGGAATCCATCAGACCTCTATATAGTAAACACCATGGCTCTAAGAAGTGATACCATCATACAGTCAACTGAGGGAACAATGCAGGGGGACCCTGTTGCAATGGCAATGTGCGCAATAGGCCTATCCGTGCTCCAACACACAATAAAATTTGAAACAACCGAGGTCAAGGAAGTGGAGTATGCTGACGACCTTACAGGAGCAGGAAAAGTGGAGGACATCAAAAAGTGGTGGGACCTGATAACATCACGAGGTCCACAAATAGGGTACCACTCAAACGCCAGCAAGTCCTTCCTCATTATGAAGCCAGAACATTATGAACGGGCAATGGAGGCGTTCGGTGGAAGTGATGTCAAAATAACAAAGGATGGCCAAAGACACCTAGGCGCAATAATTGGCACGACGGACTTCAAGACCGAGTACGTAACGGGAAAGGTGAATGAGTGGGTTAGGGAAATCCAAGCTCTGTCTGAGATTGCTAACACAGAGCCACATGCAGCTTTTGCGGCATTCACCCATGGAGTCGAGCATCGCTGGAACTACCAGATGCGCACTATCCCTGATATAAGACCCCTCGTCCACCCTCTGGAAGAAGCTATCAGCGTCAATTTCATTCCCAAGTTAGTGAAACATCTTCACTTAACCCCAGCAGAAAAATCACTCATTGCATTACCACCAAGACTGGGAGGAATGGAATTGACCAATCCAGAGGAGATTGCTGCCACCGAACATCAAAACTCAGTTAAGCTTACAGCAGCCCTCACCGACCACATAATAGCTCAGAACGCATCAGGTGAGGTGGATACCAGCGAAGTAAACAAGATTCGACGGTCCATTACGACAGAATGACAGTACGGCCAAAGTGATAAGTTGAAGCAACTGATGTTGCAAGTACCAGAGAATTTGAAAACAAAAGTAGCTATAGCACAGGAGGTGGGCGCCTCGAACTGGTTAACTACATTACCAAGAAGGTCAAATGATTTCAGTCTCAATAAACAAGAATATACAGATGCCATTGCTCTAAGGTACGGTAGGCCAGTAGAAGGTTTGCCCTCCCATTGCGTGTGTGGCTCTTCCTATGACGTTGATCACGCCATGGTGTGCAAGAAAGGGGGCTTCATATGCATGAGGCATGACGAAGTAAGGGATCTCACAGCAAATATGTTGAAGGAAATCTGTCGTGATGTCAGGGTAGAACCGACTCTCCTTCCATTGGTAGGTGAGAATTTCCAACATAGGACTTCAAACACATCCAATGAAGCCCATGTTGACGTCAGTGCTCGAGAATTCTGGACGCGGGGACAGCGAGCCTTCTTCGACATCAGGATTTTTTATTCCATGGCCGCATGTCACCATAACTTAGCTCTCAATGCTGCACACAGGAGGAATGAGAATGACAAGATAAGGGCATACAGGGAGAGAATTCAGAACGTCGATCAAGGCAGCTTCACTCCTCTGGTGTTCACAACCTCTGGTGGGATGGGACCAAGTGCAAGATGCTTTTATGCCAGACTCGCGGAGGTGCTATCCGAACAGAAGCAGCAGCCCAGAAGTTATGTTGCAGCCTGGATGAGATGTCGACTGTCCATCTCTCTCTCTTTAGGTCTGCTTTGCTCTGCCTCAGAGGAACGAGAGCATCGACCCCAAAGCCGACAACAGTTGCAGATATTGACTATGAGGCAACAGTCACTGAATGCGGCTCAACTAACTCAACACAGCCGGGGTAGCTACTTATGCATTAGGATAATTAATTTTAAGGTAATAAAATGGCAGCGAAGGCTGGAGGCCACGTTTAAAAAAAAACGAAAAAAAATATTAGTGTTAGTAGTAGTAGTAGTAGTAATAGTGGCTGGGTTTGTAGTGGTGGTGGTGATGGTAGGGGAAGGGTGACAAGACAGGCTGTACTGTATTTTATGACAACACATAAATACATTTGCTTACAGCTTTATGACTGTCCGTGGTCATATACATCTTACACGTGTACTCTTGTGTTCTAAGAAAAGTGTACAGTACTAAAAAGTTTGTGTAAAAAATTGTACTTGTTGTCTTAGCACTTTACTGTCACTTTCTACACTATGTATACTGTGCGTGCGTGTGTGCAAGTTGAGGATATGAACTAGTATGTGTGGATATTTGTACTTGTGCTGGGGCGTTTTTTCATCACCATTCCCACACACACACACACACACACTACTAGTACTACTTTGCTGTCACTCGGAATAGAGTATGACGATCATCCAGCTATGATAGAATGATATGAGTTATTAGGGATGTCACCTAGGTTGGTGAGTTTAGAGGTGACTTAAGTGGCCGATACGGGACCCGCAGGGTCGTCCACATTCGTTACACATGTGGAGGGCTGCATCTAGTGCAGGAGGGGCGGTGGCAGCGTCTTTCCGGCGTTGGCGCTTGTCTGCCTCCGTTTGCAGTTGGGCTAACTCGAAAGTATTGACACCTTCTCGTGTGAAATAATAATAATAATAATAATAATAATAATTAACGGTTTATTGAAAGAGCTTGGCAGCCAGAAGGCTGAAAATATACAGTTACATATTTGGGGAATGGGTTACGAATTACAAATAATATACAAGTAACATAAGTGACACAAATAAGACATATAATAACTAGATGGGGAAAAGCTCAAACTACAGTTCATTTCAACATAGTGACAGTGTAAGGAGCAGTGTTTACTGGGAGTGAATACACTGATTTATTACAAGTTATTGATAATTTTTACAATGGTTGGGACTGGGCTGTTCTTATAGCGATCAGTTCGTGCACGTATGGGCTGGATGCGGTTGTGGTGTCGAACAGCAATTCTCGGACAAGGGATCTCAGGTGGTAGTAGGAGCCGGTGTCGGGGATGGTGTAGAAGCTTCTTACCAAATTTGCGGATGAGGTCGTGGTGATGGTCAGTGAGAGTCGAAAGGGTCAGTGTGTTGAGCGCTTCTTGATATGTGGAGTAGGAAGGGGAGAGAATAATCTTGCATGCCCTCTTTTGCACTTTTTCTAGGTGTTTACGTTGTGTGGCATTTAGGGAGGAAGACCAGGTGGGCTATATATACATGCAGCTTTGTAGATAATTTCAGCTCCCTACAGCTGAAGACACGGTTTCGGAGTCCCCCAAAGGCTTGAGAGGCACATCTGATCCGGTGCTGAATCTCTTCATCGATGTCTGCAGTGGTGGACCGGTGGGAGCCGAGATACTGAAAGTGGGTAACATAGAGAGGGTAGTACCGTTAAGCTGGATGGATGGTGGAAGTGTGTCTGACCCTGGGACAGGTTGCAAGAGAATGTGAGTCTTATGTACATTCACCTCAAGGCCGAAGTGCGCATGCGCATCTGCGTAGGTGTTTAGGATTTCCTGTAGGTTGTGTTTAGTGTGAGCAACAAAGGTGATGTCATCTGCATACTGAAGTTCAGTAATGGAAGCTGCCAACACCTTTGTTCTTGCCTGGAGTTGTCTTATGTTGAAAAGACCCCCCTCACCCGGTGCTCGATGTCCACCCTGCCGCCTAAATTGTCACTGGCACAAGTAAGGAAGGCAGCCAAGAAAATGGAAAAGAGAGTTGGTGCCATTACACACAATTGTTTAACCCCTGTTTGGATGGGGAAGAACTCAAACTGGGTTCCGTTGTACAGGACACTGCTATTCGTGCCATCTTGGAGTTGCCTCACAACGGCGATGAATTTTGGTGGCAATCAAAACGGCTGAGGGTCCATCAGAGGGCTTCCTTGTTGACCGAATCCAAGGCCTTGGTTAGGTCAATTAAAGCCATGTACAGGTCACGACGCTGTTTTCTGCACTTTTCCTGTATCTGGCGGGCAGCAAAGATCATGTCAGTGGTGCCACGTGATGGTCTAAAACCACATTGAGATTCTGGGAGGAAGTTTTCCGCCTCAGGAAGGAGTCTGTTTAGGAGGACTCGGGTGTTAATCTTGCCAGCTATGGAGAGCAGAGCTATCCCACGGTAGTTACCACAGTCTGGCCGGTCTCCCTTGTTCATATAAATATTGACAATGGAATCGTCTTTAAGAGCTTGGGGGATTTCTTCCTTTTCCAATATATTCTCCAGGAGAGAGTGGAGACAGCTGGTAAGTAGAGGTCCTCCTGCTTTATGAACCTCGGCTGGGATTCCATCAGGCCTTGAGGCTTTGTTGTTTTTCATCTGTTTGATGGCAGTAACTACCTCATCCAAGGATGGAGGATAGCCGAGGTGGTTCAGCTATGAATGTTGAGGGACCTGCTGGGTAGTCAGGACATCCACATGAGTGTTTCGGTTGAGCAATGAATGGTAGTGCTCTTTCCAGCGCTGAAGGGGGCCTTGAGATGAGAGGAGGGGGCTACACCACGAGTGGTTAGCCCATAAAATGTTTTAATGGAATTGAAAAATTCACGCATCTTGTGCTGATCTGCATGTTTTTGTATTTCACATGCTTTATTTTTAAACCAGTCATTCTTTAGAATGCAAAGTTCCCACTGGGCTGCCGCTTTCTCCTTGCAGAAGGTATCAGCTTTGGTCCAAGACTGAGGGTTGTTCTGCCAGTCAGTAAAAGCAGCACTTTTATCATTGATGAGTATTTTGATTGCCAGGTCATTTTCATGAAACCAGTCCTGGTGTATTCTTTTGAACTGGCCTAGGGTCTCTCTGCAGGTCTTTGTCATAACAGTATTAAGAATATCCCATTCGGCACTTGGATTCACATTGTTTAAGGTTGGATTGCTTATAAGCCCATGTTTGAGCTGCTCCAGACGCTTAGAATTAAAACCTCTTCTGGAGGCTTGCTGCCTTCGCCGTTTTGGGGCGACGTGAAGTGAGAGCTTGGCTCTAACAAGTCGATGATCATTGTCACAGTGGTCTGAGCCACGCAAGGCACGGGTGAGAGGACATCTCGGCGATCTCTTTCTCTGAGAATGATGTAGTCAATGAGATGCCAGTGTTTGGATCGTGGGTGTTGCCACGAACCCTTGAACTTGTCGGCCTGCCGAAACAAGATATTGGTGATAGTGAAGGTGTGCTCATCACACTTGCTGAGGAGGAGTAGGCCATTGGCATTACACTTGCCTAGTCTATTTCTCACTATGGTCCACTGCCAAATGCTAGCATCTCTGCCAACTCTGGCATTGAAGTCGCCAAGGAGCACAACCTTGTCTTCTCTGGAGATAGAGGTTAGCACTCTGTCAAGTTTGGCGTAAAAGGCCTCCTTGATGTCATCCTCCATCCAGTGCTGGGGCATATGCACTGATGAAAAAGGCATGACGTGAGTGATTCAGTAAGACTCAAAGTGTCGTGAGGCGCTCGTTGATCCCAATAGGCATTTCAGTTAGCCTGTGTAGGATGCGTTGGCGGATGGAAAAGCCAACTCCATAAATGCGGTTTCTCTCCGCAGCAGGCTGGCCCTCATCTGGGAGCCGGGACTCACTATGTCGATGTTATTCCTAGCCACAAAGGCAGTTCTTCTTTCAGGACGCGCTCATTTGTGTTAGTATCCAGAAGGATCCTCACATTCCATGCAGCAACCATAAGAGGTTGTACGGTTTGTTTTTGTTTGGATCTGTGATTTTGACTGTTTTCGATCGCATAAGGATGACCTTACTGGGTGCGGTTGCCAAGTCAGGTTGGATTTTTAGGCACGCTATGTTTAGGGGACCTTTTCTAGCCCTCTCCCCATGTTGGGTGAACAGAGTGGCTCCTCGAAAGGGCTGCTCAGTCGCACAAACAGGACCGGATTGAACTGCTGCCTAGATCTCAGTGCATAAACGACCATCTTATCCGTGTCACCATTGGGCAGAGTTGTGACTAGAGAATCCCGGCAGTCATCTCTGCCTGTTCCCGTCGCCATTCGTCTGTCGCCGTAGGACTTATGGCGGTATAGGGGTTTTGATGATGATGATAGGTATGATGGTGGCTGCACGTGAGTTGATTTATGTGGTGAGGCAGGAGCGCAGGCTGCAACCACACATTTTGGCTCTCCCTTTTCCTGATCCATTGGTGCAAGTGTTGCAACGACTAGGAAGAGGGAGAGTTGCTATGGACTGTCGATAGCCCAGTTTGTTGGGTTTCGCCTTAGATGCCTGTCATCAGGCATTGCCTTCGTCCTCCGTTGTAGTCGTTGTGTTTCCACGGTGGTGACCTCTTCCGCCTATACCGCCGTTGGGGGCTTGTTGGAGCTCTGTAAACATGTCTGCCTGATGCGGGGCTCCACCACAGATTTTTCGTTCGGGGTTTACCCCAGTAGCCTTATACCTACCAAGGTTAATCCGCAAGGCAGCGGGGCAATGGCTGGTAGGCTCCAGAACGTGTCCACATGCCAGTGGGCCTATGCGCCATCCTTCTAGGGCCCACTGCTACTCCGAGATCCCCTGCTGGTCTAGCCTGGGCTCACGAGGCACCCAGTTACCGTGTGTTGCCACGAGGAGGCATAGCAGGAGTCTTGATGGTGAAGAGGCTGTGTACTGGCAGGAGAAGACTTATGCATGTTGCTTCCCTGTTCGCCACTATGGCTAGCCAGCGGCGGCAGCTGAAAGCGAGAGGGAGCAAGCGGTGCTTGCACCTTAACACTAACATAGTGCTGCAACACAAGACGCATTTCACCACCCTGTGTGTGACACACGCACACACACAGGACGTGATACCGTGAGACAAGATCCTTTCCTAAGATGTTTTGAGGCGATGTTTTCACACTACACTACCACTACCTCTGCTCACCTAACTTTCTTTCTTTCTTTCTTCTGTGTTGTAATACGCCAGCTATCACTCCACAGTCCTCCACCTCCCTCTACGTCGGGATAGGGTGGAGGGAGGCTGGTTAAGTCTACCTGACTGACTGATTGACCTTGTGCCTACCCGTCCCCTTACCTACCTACACCTCTTCCCTTTCCCCCCTACCTACCTACTTAACTAACTATCTACCTACTTGCCTACAAAGCTCCCTTGTCTCCCTTACCCCCTACCCATCTACTAAACTACCTACAAATTTCCTTATCTATCTTACTACCTCCCTCCCTCCCTTTCAACTTTCCTCTCTACCACCCTACTTACCTACTTATCTACTTACCTACCTACAGGACGGAGGCATGACGTAGACAAGACCAATAGTCTCCCGGTACAGCTGGTGTGATCGTCCTTACCTGCACCGCCTCACATTAATGACCAGCTCTTGCAGGAGCCCCGACGTGGGTGTCGAGACAAACACACACACACACACACACACACATGCACACGCACACGCACACTTACCTGGTGAGGTGAGAAGAGGTAGACGATCACACACACAGACTCGTAACTAAACCCCGTCTCTCTCATCACCAGTTATGGGGAGGGGGGGAGGGGGTACGATGATGACTCACCACACACACACACACATACAGACACACACACACACAGAAATGTAGTAGTGTTAGAAGGGAGGCATAGACAGACAGACAGACAAACAGTTATGGAAGTGTTAGAAGACAGACAGACGTAGACAGACAATCGTAGTGGTGTTAGAAGGGAAGCTCAGACAGACAGACAGACAGAGGGTGAAGGTTAAGTGAGAGGGCGAGGAGAGGGAGGGTGCTGGTACAGGTATTGTGTGTGGGACGGACCGGCTCTTACAGTCACAGAGGTTCGTAAGATCTCTCTCTCTCTCTCTCTCTCTCTCTCTCAACTGGTTAACTTGAGCTAAAAACACAAATGTAACCTCAAAATATGGTTGTGAGAGAGAGAGAGAGAGATAGAGAGAGAGAGAGAGATAGAGAGAGAGAGAGAGAGAGAGAGAGAGAGAGAGAGAGTTGTCAGTATCTTTACCTGAGTTGAGTTACATCATCGCCCAGTCTGGTCCTGATTACTCACTTGTGAGACCTGTTGTTCTACTGGGATCCTCCTAGGACCTGTTGCTCTGTTGGGATCCTCCTAGGACCTGTGCTCTGTTGGGATCCTCCTAGGACCTGTGCTCTACTGGGATCCTCATAGGACCTGTTGCTCTGTTGGGATCCTCCTAGGACCTGTTGCTCTGTTGGGATCCTCCTAGGACCTGTGCTCTACTGGGATCCTCATAGGACCTGTTGCTCTGTTGGGATCCTCCTAGGACCTGTGCTCTACTGGGATCCTCATAGGACCTGTTGCTCTGCTGGGATCCTCCTAGACCTGTTACTCACCAGAGGGACCTATTGATGTAGTAATTAGTGTTGATGACGTAGTAGATCCCCACCTTCTACCTGTCCACACCATAAATCCCAACTACCTTCCTTGGTTAGGTTAGTGTGTGTGTGTGTGTGTGTGTGTGTGTGTGTGTGTGTGTGTGTGTGTGTGTGTGTGTGTGTGATCTAGTTGATGGCACCCTTAATTAAAGAGAGAGAGAGAGAGAATCAGGAAGTGATGGTAGTTTGTAGTAATGTTAATTAAAACTAATTTGTCTTAATTTGGCATCTGTGTGTGTGTGTGTGATAAAAACATTTGCATTACATGTGTGTGTTAGCATGTACGACACACACACACACACACACACATTCTGTACATACATACATACATATATATGTTTGTATACTTGAAAGTTTATGTTGCTCTCACTTAATACTTGTACTTACTTTCATTACTTTAGTGTTACTTATACATGTGTTTACTTAATTACTTTATACACGTGTTTACTTAATTACTTTATACACGTGTTTACTTAATTACTTTATACACGTGTTTACTTAATTACTTTATACACGTGTTTACTCAATTACTTTATACACGTGTTTACTTAATTTCTTTATACACGTGTTTACTTTACTAATATAGGTAATTGTTGTTACAGAAGTGACCTGGCAGGGCAGAGCAGCGGGAAACAACACAGGTTTGTTCTAACACCAGAGCAGCGTACTGTACTGTGTGGGGCAGACAAGGTCAAAGTCAACCTTACTGTGAGTCACAATGTTACTATGATTCACACACACACACACACACACACACACACACACACACACACACACTACCTCAACAACTTAGGTCCTGTTAGTCTAAATATTCCATTTAGTTGACTATATTTTGTGTCCGTGTTGAATTATTATACACAAGGTATTAATCACAGTATGTTGACTTTGATGTATTAAATATGAGACCTTCCCAATTTGCTGTATTTAATGTATTAATAGGTTACAGAGAAGAGATAAATTAGTCTCATATTTTTTTCCTATTCTAAGTGACATATTACAGTGTTGTATTTCCTGTAATGACCGAGAGACGATGAATTATTTCTTATATTTTCTAAGTTATGAATAAAACTCATCACATTTACACTGTATTTGATGTAATGACTAAAATACACGATACATTTGATTCACACTCTTGTACACTCTGAGAAACAGTGCAGTATACTGTATGTCGTGTATACTGTATTAAGGCACATGGTATACTGTATGGCTTGTATACTATATTAAGACACGGTATACTGTATGTCGTGTATACTGTACCATGACACAGTATACTGTATTAAGACGCATATTACAGTGTGCTGTATTTAACATAATATCTTAAAAGACACGATATTCTGTAAATACAAACAGACAGAAAGATAGACACAGACCTTGACAGACATACACAGACAGACGCTGACAGACATACACACACACTGACAGACATACACACACCGATTCTGGTAGACATACACAGACAGTGATAATACGGGGAACACAGACAGACACACACACACACACACACACACACACACCTAATACTAGGAAAAAATACTCACAGACAAACAGACACAGACGATAGCTTCAGTTAATACGAGGAACAAAGTGACTAACCAACTTGTAGATGCTCAGTTACTCGTAGGTTATATTCCCCGACAGTAGTGGCCGAGAGAACTCTGTAGTCTCTAGCACGCCATCTTGGTGTTGTAAGGTTAACCACAGGTGTTCAGGGGGAGTTTAACCTACGTGTTTGTGAGGGTCTGAGATGTGGCTCCGGATTCCAACAGTTTCGTAAGATCATTTTTACTTCAAAACAAAAGTTGTGTTAGTGACCGAGGCCGCCATGTGCGTATTATTCTCACTTACGAACCTTACAGAATTCGGACCATATTTCTCTTTTTGGACGCTTGTGGTATTTTGGGTAATTTTTGATTGGCCAACGGTCAGCGGCTGAGCCCGCCCACTTTTGGTTTCCATGATAACCATAACAATTCGTAAAGTTGAGTGGATACAGAGTCGTGACGCCTCATCGGTAAATTCACGGTAAAAATTGTTAGCTTGGGTGTTTAATGTTACGATATTTAAGCGAATCAATCAAATAACACGAAAAAAAAGTTTTGTTAAATAAAAAAAAAAGCTGTGAATTTGCCGTGTTGCGTCGCGTCTCTTAGTAACCGTCAACCGTGATGGTGGTTAAGTGGGCGGAGCTTAGTAGCTGGGTTAGTTATTTCACTAATATTTGACAATTATTAACTTGTTTGGAGGACGTGAGCCGCCACTAGCAGCTGCACCAGCTGTAATGGAGGAGTTCTGCGGTATAAGACAGTGGGTGTAGTAACTCCTAATAATAACATCTTAACATCTTGTTCTTCAACATCTGTAATTTCTATCAGTTTAGGTTTATTAGGTACAATAACATTACAGGAAGCAACCAGTCATATCTCTCATTGACAATAACGTCTTGGAAATCAACCAATTACAATCTTTTTTGATAAGACCATCATAACAATCGATCAATCCGAGAGAAACGCAACCATTAAGGGTGTGAACAGGCTGCCCTTGTCCTAAGAGTGTCACGCTTGTTGTACACCACTCACCCATGACACCACTCACCCATGACACCAGTCACCCGTGACACCACTCACCCGTGACACCACTCACCTGTGACAACAAGTATAAACTATCAACAGTGATGAACAGAAAAGTTCCGTTCAACCATACTGACCCACAACACACCATTATGACGTGTTGTGGGGGGTGTGATGGGTATGGGGAGTGTGGGGGGTGTGGGGGGTGTGGGGAGTGGGGGGTATGGGGTGTGGGTATGGGGAGGGGTGTGTGGGGGGTGGGGGCGAACGGGGGTTATGGGGGCATACAGGGGTGTGGGGCAGTAATACGATATCTTATCTTTGTGTTAAGGCCACTGATGTACTAGCTGTACGTGGGAAGTACGGCTACTGATTAACTGACGGACGAACGGACGGAACCATACAAACGGTAAGGTCAACTCTCATGACCGCAGTTCACCATGAGTTGTCATATTATGCGGTCATGTACTGTTTTATCCATAGCGAGTGTTATTAAGTGAACAGTCAGGAGAAAATAGATTAATCTAGCGAACAGTGAGAGAGACAGAGATTGCTATAACTAGTGACGGGGTAAAAAGAAATTATAAATAGAAAATAAAATGATTATATTAATCTACACCACGAAGATGCCGGAAAACCAGCTTTTTGAAGTGAGACAGATTGTATGAGTATGGAAACACAGAAGAAAGCAGAGCATTTCACAGTTTGGATGTGTGAGGAAAGAAGGAGGTACTATAACTGGCGTAAGAACTCTTTAACTGGCGTAAAACCTCACTTAACTGGCGTAAGAACTCATTAACTGGCGTAAGAACTCCACTTAAGTGGCGTGAGAACTCATCTAACTGGGTTGGACTCTCAACCTACAGTACAAAGATGGTCGTCATTATAGCGTCAGAATTATGCTGTGACTCGACTCTTCTCGCCAGGAGGAAAAATAACATTCTGTAAGAATTTCTTGAGCGTGTGGAGGGAGATGGGCGGCAGTGAAGGTGTGCGGCCGTGAAGGTGATTGCGGCAATAACAACAGCTGTTTACCTGTGTGATGATACCTCTCTCCCTATGAGGAGGTGTTGTTGTGGTGGTGGTGAGAGGTGTGGTGAGAGGCGTGGCCTCACCATCACCACCATGTAATCGGCCGCACTACCCTGAGGCACGAACACATGTGCCGTGTTCCTTCTACCTGGGCCACCTAGTGCTGTCCACTACCACCACCACCACTATCCCTACCACCCCTACCATCACCCCAACTACTACCTTCACTATGATCCTTACCACTACCACCACCAAGAGCCCCACCGCCGCCACGACCCCTACCACCACCACGACGCCTTCCACCACAATTGCCACTACCATACACTCGTACTACACCTCAAGTGTACACAGGGAGCACGGAACACCGTATAATAGTGCTCCATTAAGAAACTGTATTAGTAGAACAAGGGAGCCACATAATGAGCGTGTGTTCCGAGGAGGATTTGACGGTCACAGTTTACACCTGACCTGACCTACACCACCTGTGATGTACCTGACCTGACCTACACCACCTGTGATGTACCTGACCTACACCACCTGTGATGTACCTGACCTACACCACCTGTGATGTACCTGACCTGACCTACACCACCTGTGATGTACCTGACCTGACCTACACCACCTGTGATGTACCTGACCTGACCTACACCACCTGTGATGTACCTGACCTGACCTACACCACCTGTGATGTACCTGACCCTGACCCACCACCTGTGATGTACCTGACCCCCATTTCACCACCTGTGATATGCCTGACCTGACCTACACCACCTGTGATGTACCTGACCTGACCTACACCACCTGTCATGTGCTGACCTGACTTACCACCTGTGATGCTGACCTGACCTACACCACCTGCTTGTGTACCTGGCCTGACCTACACCACCTGTGATGTTACTGACCTACACCACCTGTGTACCTGACCTGACCTACCACCTGTGATGTGCCTGATCTGACCTACACCACCTGTGATGTACCTGACCTGACCTACACCACCTGTGATGTGCCTGGCCTGACCTACACCACCTGTGATGTACCTGGCCTACACCACCTGCTTGATGTACCTGACCTGACCTACACCACCTGTGATGTACCTGACCCTGACCTACACCACCTGTGATGTACCTGACCTGACCTACACCACCTGTGATGTACCTGATCTGACCTACCACCTCATGATGTACCTGACCTGACCTACACCACCTGTGATGTACCTGACCTGACCTACACCTGCTTGATGTACCTGACCACAGCCCACCACCACTAAACTACACTAAAGGGTATGTCTTGTTTGATAGTGCAACAGACAGACAGACAGACAGACAGACATAGAGAGTGAGAGTAAAGGTAGATGGGACCATAAGGTACAGACGGGTAGGAGGGTCGACGGGAGGGAAGTGGACGGGAGGGGAGGGGAAGGGAGAGGTGGTGACGGGAGAGGAGGTGAGGGAGGACGGGAGGGAGCAAAAAAGTACCCAACAGGTGAAAGTGGATTGTGAATCACTTGAGACCACACACCTGTACTGTTGTCTCCCCTCCACCACACACCTGTACTGTTGTCTCCCCTCCACCACACACCTGTACTGTTGTCTCCCCTCCACCCCACACACCTGTACTGTTGTCTCCCTCCACCACACACCTGTACTGTTGTCTCCCCTCCACCACACACCTGTACTGTTGTCTCCCCTCCACCACACACCTGTACTGTTGTCTCCCCTCCACCACACACCTGTACTGTTGTCTCCCCTCCACCACACACCTGTACTGTTGTCTCCCCTCCACCACACACCTGTACTGTTGTCTCCCCTCCACCACACACCTGTACTGTTGTCTCCCCTCCACCACACACACCCTGTACTGTCTCCCCTACCCCACACTCCTGTGCCTGCTGTCTCCCCTCCCACCACACACCTGTCTCTTGTCTCCCCTCCACCACACACCTGTACTACTGTCTCCCCTACACCACACTCCTGTACTGCTGTCTCCCTCCCACCACACACCTGTACTGTTGTCTCCCCTCCACCACACACCTGTACTATTTGTCTCCCCTCCCACCACACACCTGTACTGTTGTCTCCCTCCACCACACACACCTGTACTGTTGTCTCCCCTCCACCACACTCCTGTACTGCTGTCTCCCCTCCACCACACACCTGTACTGTTGTCTCCCCTCCACCACACACCTGTACTGTTGTCTCCCCTGCACCACACACCTGTACTGTTGTCTCCCCTGCACCACACACCTGTACTGTTGTCTCCCTCCACCACACACCTGTACTGTTGTCTCCCCTCCACCATACACCTGTACTGTTGTCTCCCCTCCACCACACACCCGTACAGTTGTCTCCCCTCCACCACTCACCTGTACTATTGTGTGTGCGCGTGTGTGTGCACGCGCTCGCCTAAAACCTGTCAACAATATAAATGATTAATTTCATTACCGCTGTGATGTAAGTTGGTGGTGCTGCAGGACGCGAGAGTCACCTGGTGTAGTCTTCCTCCTGTGGCGGGAACTGTGTTCCAGTATATCAGATAATGCTTCTTGTAAGTAAGAGGAGACACATGTATCTGCTCCACATAAACTAATGTGTGAAATCAGTGCAAACAAATAACTCGAGGCTTCCTTAACCTTCAACTCACACCAGGCAGACAGATATCCTCACCAAATGGTGTCTTTTAGCTGATGGTAAATGGAACCTATCGAGTTATGGTGGTGTCTTATTGTTAGTGTTTTGTTTGGCAATTTATTTATTTATTTTACTTTTTTTTTAAAGTGAAGCAGTTGGAGGTGTTGATGCATCTTATCTCGGGAGGAGTGATGCCCCCATAGGTCTCCGTGAGTCTGGGCGGGACACAGTTATTGTACAGTCCGTCTCGGGAATTAATCCTGGGAGATGGAAAACACGAGGTCTTGGGATGTGAGGTTTGTATCTCAACCCGGTAAGGAATTTTGAGGTGTTGGTGTTGAGTTTGACGTTATTACTGACCTTCAATAACTAGGTCGCTAGTCATTGTATAACCATCAACAATCAGAAAATATAAGAGATAGAACTTTATGTTTGAATTAGAGAGAAGCTTAGCGTGGATGAGTACCGCTGGGAGACTAAATCTGGATTTCTACAACGAATCCTGGTGATGGTGTTTGTCTGGGGTACCGTTAGCACTACCAGTCAGTGTTGCAACACCAAAACAGTTATTGACAGCTGGAGTAACACGGAGTAACCATTCTGGTTTGTGTGTAATGTTTGACTGGCTCTCCTCAGCTGGAGTGAACCGTAAGAGAAATACACAAAAAATCAGAATCTGGATTCTTTGTGTAGGAACACTTGTAAAGTTTACAATGCGTTTATAAACAGACGGGACAGTTAGCCAAGGGTGTTCGGTTGTAGAAGCGCTTTTATGGACAGGCATGTTACCTAAACAAATGACTGACGCGGACTGTGTATACCTTCATATGTCACGTCAAATTGGCCTCTTCATCTATGTAAGACTATATAGGTTAGTTAAACAAGATGAGAACAGTGAGATGAGGTGTCATGTCTCCCGCAGGCGGGGATGAGCTCAGTGGCGGCCCCCCTCGGGGCTACCACCGCCCTGGCCGACCTCGACGCTATCACAGATGAGGAGCGACTGAGGATCATGGTGAGTCAACCGCCTCCCCTTTGGATCACTTCTTACCCCTCCCCCCTTTGATCACCCATTACCCCTTCCCTCCCTCTAGACCACCCCTCTCCCTACAACACACCCTACATCCCCTCAACCCCTGAAGGCACCAAATATAAACCCTTACCAACAGACCAGGCAGGAAGTTGATCACAAGCAAGAATCAGGTTGTGGTGGTGTTGTCTCAAGTGCTACAACTACCAGGGTTGTTATACATCAGTCAGTCAAATGTCTCACAATACAACTTCTAGAAATCAGTTTTATACACCGCAAGGATTTTCTTTCTTCAGCAGAAGTTTAATAGTGAAGGAATTGATAGATATTTAAAATCTTAAGTTGCAACTAAACCAAACTAGCATTACCTTAAACTGGGTCAGATTTTCTTAGGATTGCTAAGGTTAGGTTATATTAGGTTAGGTTATGTTTTGTTAGGTTAGGTTAGGTTAGGTTATGTTAGGTTAGGTTATGCTATGTTAGGTTATGTTATGTTTTGTTAGGTTAGGTTAGGTTAGGTTAGGTTAGGTTAGGTTAAGGTAGGTTAGGTTAGGTTAGGTTAGGGTAGGGTAATGTAGGGTAGGTTAGGGTAGGTTAGGGTAGGTTAGGTTGGGCTTGGTGGGTTAATGTTAGGTTAAGTTAAGCTAGGTTAGGTTAGGTTAGGATTAGATACCGGTAATACTTGCTGGCAATAAACCATTAGCATTTATTTCAATATTGTGCAGTAAGTGGTTAAGGAAATATTAATCTGATGACCACCTGAACCAGTCAGTCACTATACTTGTGTCCGTATCTCCGTAGTCTGCTCACCTGGTCATCTCTTTCTTCCTCACCTTGAAAATCAGTGGCAGAGAATATAACTGAAACCAATTAACCTAACCTAATCTAACCTAATTTAACGTGACCTAACTTAATCAAACCTCGCCTGATTTGACCCTTAATCTAACCTACCCCAATCTATTACTAACCTAACTTAATCTAACTTAACCCAATCCTAATCTCGTTTAATCTAATCTTAACCTGACTTAATTTAACCTAAATTATCCCGACCTAGTCTTACCTAACTTAACCTTACCAAAACTAACCTTACCTAACCTCTCTCCTCTCCACTCTCCACTCCCTTCCCATCCACTCCCCTCCCTCCTTCCCCTCTCCCTCCCACCCAACCCCATCCCTCTCCCCCCTCCCCCTTGGTCTTGTATGCAGTCATGCGCACCTACACACATGCACGCATTAACATTTACGTACTTGCATTGTCTCTTTCTCTAAAACACTTTGCATGTGTATGTATGTGTTTATACACAGCTATGTGCTCTCAGATATACACACATTTATACGTATATGCACTTGAGCATGTATCCTGTATGCATTTATAGATGCTATATACACCTATGTGGTTTTATATAAACTTCTATATCTGTTCATTTTTATACTTACATGTACTTTTATCTGTTTATATATCCCTAAATCTTCTAATATGCACTTATATTCTACTTACCTGCATCTACGTGTTCTCAAGTGTACTTACCTAGTCTTAATTTGCACTTTATATATCTTCTTACATCCTATTGAGTGCATATATATATATATATATATATATATATATATATATATATATATATATATATATATATATATATATATATATATATATATATATATATTCGAATTTAGAATGTACTTTTATGTCTTGTTGTAAGTTAGGGCATGTTAAGTAAGATATAGCATGTTATAACAAATCTGTTGTAAGTAAGTAAGTCATGTTAGGTAAGTCTAGTCATGTTGTAAGCAAGTTTGGTTAAGCCAAAGTAAGATAAGTCACGTTAAGTAAGATACGACACATTATAAGTAAGATTGGTCATTATTTGATTAAATAAAGTCATGTTAAATAAGGTAATACAATGAGGTTAAGTCATAAGTAACAGTGGTCATGTGAAATAGATTAGATCATGTTAAAAGTATCATGTAACAGAACTTACTTACTTATATCACTTATAATGTCTGTGCATATCGTTTAAGTAACTACAGTTATGTCCCAGCACTTATACAACCACACATCATGCCAGTACCACAACCACACATCATGCCAGTACCACAACCACACATCATGCCAGTACTACAACCACACGTCATGCCAGTACTACAACCACATCGTCAGTGCCAGTACTACAACCACATCGTCATGCCAGTACTACAACCACACGTCATGCCAGTACTACAACCACATCATGCCAGTACCACAACCACACATCATGCCAGTACCACAACCACACATCATGCCAGTATAACCACATCATGCCAGCACTACAACCACACATCATGCCAGTAACACAACCACACATCATGCCAGTATCATAACCACACATCATGCCAGTACTACAACCACACATCATGCCAGTGGCCACAAACCACACGTCATGCCAGTACTACAGCCACACGTCATGCCAGTACTACAACCACACATCATGCCAGTACTACAACCACCGTGCCAGCGCTCACAAAATCCACACACTGGCGCCAGCACATAACCACACGTCGCGCCAGGCTGGCTAACCACACACCGTGCCAAAGGTCACAACCACATCATGCCAGCACTACAACCACACGCCATGCCAGCACTACAACCACACACGCGCCAGTACTACAACCACACATCATGCCAGTACTACAACCACACATCATGCCAGTACCACAACCACACATCATGCCAGTACTACAAACCACCTCATGCCAGTACTACAAACCACACGTCACGCCAGTACTACAACCACACATCATGCCAGTACTACAACCACACATCATGCCAGTACCACAGCCACACATCACAGGACTACAACCACATCATGCCAGCACACAACCACGTCATGCCAGCATCACTACAAATCTCACACGTCATGCCAGTATTTGCCAACCACACGTCATGCCAGTACTAAACCACACATCATGCCAGTACTTCACAACCACATCATGCCAGCATACCTACAGCCACGGCACGTCATGCCAGTACCACAACCACATCGTCATGCCAGTACCACAACCACACGTCATGCCAGTACTACAACCACACGTCATGCCAGTACCACAACCACACATCATGCCAGTACCACGAACCACACATCATGCCAGCACCACAACCACACGCCATGCCAGTACCACAACCACACGCCATGCCAGTACCACAACCACACGTCATGCCTCATGCCAGTACCACAACCACACGTCATGCCAGTACCATAACCACACATCATGCCAGTACCACAACCACGTCATGCCAGTACCACAACCACACGTCATGCCAGTACCACAACCACCACGTCATGCCAGTACCACAGCCACACGTCATGCCAGTACCATAACCACACGTCATGCCAGTACTACAACCACATCATGCCAGTACTACAACCACACGTCATGCCAGTACTACAACCACTCGTCATGCCAGTACTACAACCACACGTCATGCCAGTACCACAACCACACCTCATGCCAGTACTATAACCACACATCATGCCAGTACCATACCGTCTGCCAGTACTACAACCACACGTCATGCCAGTACTACAACCCTCATGCCAGTACTACAACCACACCTCATGCCAGTACCACAACCACACGTCATGCCAGTACTACAACCACACGTCATGCCAGTACCACAACCACCTCATGCCAGTACTACAACCACACATCATGCCAGTACCACAACCACACGTCATGCCAGTACTACAACCACGTCATGCCGTACCACAACCACACGTCATGCCAGTACCACAACCACACATCATGCCAGTACTACCCACACCTCATGCCAGTACCACAACCACGTCATGCCAGTACTACAACCACACATCATGCCAGTACTACAACCACACATCATGCCAGTACTACAACCACGTCATGCCAGTACCACAACCACACCTCATGCCAGTACCACAACACACTCGCCAGTACTACAACCACACCTCATGCCAGTACCACAACCACACGTCATGCCAGTACTATAACCACACATCATGCCAGTATCACAACCACACCTCATGCCAGTACTACAACCACACATCATGCCAGTACTACAACCACACGTCATGCCAGTACTACAACCACACGTCATGCCAGTACCACAACCACACCTCATGCCAGTACTACAACCACACATCATGCCAGTACCACAACCACACGTCATGCCAGTACCTACACACGTCATGCCAGTACCACAACCACACGTCATGCCAGTACTACAACCACACCTCATGCCAGTACCACAAACACACGTCATGCCAGTACTACAACCACACGCATCATGCCAGTACTACAACCACACCTCATGCCAGTACTACAACCACATCATGCCAGTACAACCACACGCCATGCCAGCATTACAACCACACGCCATGCCAGTACCACAACCACACCCCATGCCAGTACTACAACCACACATCATGCCAGTACACAACCACACGCCATGCCAGTACTACAACCACACGTCATGCCAGTACCACAACCACGTCATGCCAGTACTACAACCACACCTCATGCCAGTACCACAACCACACGCCATGCCAGTACACAACCACACGTCATGCCAGTACCACAATCCACACGTCATGCCAGTACTACAACCACACGTCATGCCAGTACCACAACCACACGTCATGCCAGTGTACTACAACCACACATCATGCCAGTACTACAACCACACATCATGCCAGTACCACAACCACACATCATGCCAGTACTACAACCACACGTCATGCCACAGTTCCACAACCACATCGTCATGCCAGTACTACAACCACGTCATGCCAGTACCACAACCACACCTCATGCCAGTACCACAACCACACATCATGCCAGTACACAACCACACATCATGCCAGTACCACAACCACACGTCATGCCAGTACCACAACCACACATCATGCCAGTACCACAACCACACATCATGCCAGTACCACAACCACACATCATGCCAGCATTACAACCACATCATGCCAGTACTCACAACCACACATCATGCCGCACTACAACCACACGTCATGCCAGTACTAATAAACCACACATCATGCCAGTACTCACAACCACACCTCATGCCAGTACCACAGCCACACAGCCAGTACCGCAACCACACATGCCAGTACCAAATCCACACATCATGCCAGTACCACAACCACACACGTGCCAGTACTACAACCACACATCATGCCAGTACTACAACCACACATCATGCCAGTACTACAACCACACATCATGCCAGTACTACAACCACACATCATGCCAGTACTACAACCACACATCATGCCAGTACTACAACCACACCTCATGCCAGTACCACAGCCACACATACCAGTACCACATCCACACATGCCAGTACTACAACCACACATGCCAGTACTACAACGGCACTATTCCAGTACTACAACCACACATGCCAGTACCACAACCACGCATGCCAGTACCACAGCCACACTATGCCAGTACCAGAAGTAACACACCTGACGTACCTACAGTGGCAACAAGCGGAGGACTTCGGAGAGCGTCGGCGCATCAGGGCGAGGATGTACAAGTTACGGGAGCAACGACTGAGAGAGATGATGCAGAACGACGAAGAGGCCCTTGGTACTCTCAACGTTACTGATGACAGCGGCGGCCTCACCGAGTATTCCACCATCACTGTTGGTGGTGACGGTAATAACACCTCACGACGCTCCTCTAACATACAGGTCAATTGGTTTTCTCTTTGTGTATTTGTTTGTTTATTTGTTTGTTAGTTAGTTAGTTAGTTTGTTTGTTTGTTTGTTTATTTTTTGTTTGTATATAACTCTTCTCATTTTCGGCCGTTGTTGTAGTTAACGGTGGTAACGCATAGACAGTCATGTATATTAGTGTAGAACTTAGCTGATAACTCATCTAATATCTCTCTCTCAACAACTTAGTAGTTAACAATGTCACCCAACACGTGAAGCACTTATTGGGAACCTTTATATGTTGGTTTGTCTGTATAGGTGACGATGCATGTGGACGGAGACTCGGCCGTGACGGAGTCCATCTCTACTCAGAATGTCCGCCTAGGTGGCCTCACCATGCGTGGGGTGGACAATATCTCCGTTGAGGGTCTCCAGCCAGGGGACGTCATACAAGAACGTATCCGTAAGGCCAGTGAGGACCGCCCCAGCAGGTTCCAGCGCATCATCGGTGAGCTCTCTGACACGGAGGCCAATAATGAGGGCGATTCGGTCGTATCCATCACAAAGTCTACATACTCTATTCAGTCCAACGCCCTTGCTGGTGAAGGTTATCTCTCCATGAAGAATAAAGAAGTCAGAGATTCCGTGTCTCCCACCCGCATTATGAGAGAGCGAAGGTCGTCTGCTGAGGACGACACATCAGCCAACGAGGGGCGTCTCACCTCTGACGACGAGGCGGCACTCAAAGCTGAAAGTGAACATGTGATAGAGGCTCTACAGACCTCACCGCCCAAGACATCCTCCTCCAGAAAGACTTCAAGGGATGAAAGAACAACAACAAGAACCACAAAATCCAGACAGTCAGAAATACCGGTCCGTAAAGAGTCTTCATCATCTCGTAAAGTTAGTGAGAGAAAAACTTCCAAGGAATTAGACTTTAGCTCAGTTAAACGTACTAGTGGAGATAAATCATCGCCAACATCACCCACAAAACGTACCCCAGGTGAGAGTTCCTCCAGAAGCCACATGCCACGGAGGACAGGAGCTCAGAAGGAGGCTCCTACCTCACCCGCCAAGTCTCCTACAAGGACAGGTACCAAGGCTGTACCATCCTCAAGGAAATCAAAATTGGCTGAAGTTGAGTCAAAGATGGAGACTTCTATCATGTCTGAGTTAGACAAGTTGGATTCTTACTTGAGTGCGAGTGTTAACGATGATGACGAGGTCATCATGGAAGAGGAAGAGGACTGTGTGGATGAGGCAGGCAACGTGGTGAAGATGTTGGTACAGACACGTCGTAAGAAGGATGGTACAGAGTGTACAGCTCGTCGAGTGGCCAGGTCGACCAAGGTAGTCAACAGTGAGAGTGAGATTGATGAAATACTTATTGGCAATCCAGACCATGAAGTGCTTGAACGAGAAGTGGCTGAAGAAGAAGATAAAGATGGCAACAAAATCAAAATAATTACTGAGACTCGACAAAGACCTGATGGCATTACCTATACTACTAAGAACATCTTAAAAACTTCAAAGATCTTTGACTATGACCATCCTGAAGATGTTGCTTATAATGAAGAAGATGAACTTATTTCCACTAATGAAACTGAGGAAACTGATGAAAATGGAATTACAATCCAAACTGTTACAGAGACGAGGCGAAAACCCAGCGGCATGGAGTACACAACGAAGAAGGTGTACAAGACCTCTAAGGTTAAGAGCACACACATTACTCCTTCTGACGATGATGAAGTGATTGACACCAAAGAAACTGAAGAGAAGAAAGACGATGGTTCAATTATTCGCACAGTGATAGAGATTCGTCGAACCAAGACAGGCGAGGAGTACACCCACAGGCAGGTGTTTAGGTCTCGTAGGATGACATTATCAGGTGTGGATCTCCAGAGGGGTCTCCCCACCATCCACAATGATGATGAGGTGATAGATAAGAATGAAAAGGAGGAGATGGATGATAGTGGCATGACCATCAAGGTTGTCACCGAGACTCGCCGCAGGAAGGATGGATCAACTTACTCCTTCGAATATGTACTCCGCAGCTTCCAGGGCACAGAAGATGATGTGAAGAAGATGCCTGTAGGTGGTTCCAAGTCTTCTAATATTGCCGTCAGTGCTGATGACGAACTTATTAATGAAGAAATAAAAGAAGATGTTCAAGAAGATGGCTCAACAGTAAAGACCATTATTGAGAGAAGACGTGCTAAGGATGGCACTGAATACTTACGTCACCGCATCATGAGGATTCCCAAGATGCCAGAGCCTGTGCTACAGGTGGCCAACCTTGAGGATGAAGTACTGCAGGAGGAGGTGAAGGAGAAAACTCTTAATGACGGCACACACTACAAGGCTGTTACGGAACGACGCCGTAGCAGCGTGTCTGGCCTTCAGTATACACTCCGTAGAATGTCTAAAATTTACCAGCAGCCGACACATCATCCCAAGTCCTCTGAAGACGAGATCCTGGACGAGAATGTTACTGAGGAAGAAACAGATGACGGCACTGTGGTCAAGACTGTCATACAGCGCTACCAGAGGCCTGATGGCTCCGTGTACACAACTCACAACATCCACAGGACGTTCAGCTCACCAGCTCCTGTAACATTTGTTGGAACTGAAAATGATGAACTTGTCGACCAGTCTGTTGATGAACAGGAAACTGCAGATGGTTATGTCATCAAGTCGGTGACAGAAACACGCAGGAGAGCTGATGGGATGCAGTATACTGTGGAACGAACAGAGAAAACATCCAAATTTGGTCCAGAAGTTCACATCACTTTTAGTGGCAATGATCGTTCAAAGAAACCAGAAGATGTTGTTCAGGTCGGAAGTCCAGATGACACTGTAGTGAGTTGTGAAGAGAATGAATACGAGGAGGAGGACGGCACAGTCGTTAAGACTGTTGTTGAGATCAGACGCAGGGTAGACAGTACCGAGTACACCACCAAGACAGTGTTAAGGTCCACGCCTGTGTTGGTCCCTGAGCGAGAAACAAGTTACGTGGTTATCAAGCCTGAAGGAGGAGATGAGGATGAGGATGTTGGCTTCTTCCCTTCACTTGATGATGAAGTTGTTTACACACGTAAGAAAGAGGAAATTGGTGAAGATGGACAACCTATCACCGTCATTATCGAGACTCGACAGAGTAAAACTACTGGGGAGAAATACAACATCACCAAGAGGGTTCACACTACCAATGTCGTTATGACCGAGGAAGGAGAAAGGGAGATTCCAAAGGCAGTAATGAAATCCACTTTAGTTGCCAACATTGCTCCTGCTCCCGGCAGCAAGAAGCCTGACAAACCTACTGAGGAGCCAGAGGATGATCAGGACGATGTACCTTATGGGTCTGTCTCAGCCCTGAAGAATAGGTTTGCTCCTGCACCATCTAAGAAGCCAGAGTCAAGTGATAAGACTGGCAAGCCTGACCGTGCAAACACACTAAACAAGAAGAGATTCTTTGAAGATGCAGCTAAGACCTCAGCAGTAACTGTCCCGAGTTCCAAGACATCGCCCAGAAAATCTGAACCCAAAGATCGACCTCGAGAACCTGATAGAGACGCTAAGAGAGATCTACTTCCTGCATTTTCAGACGATAAGGCTTCAATTGAAGTAAAACTTCGTGTTGAAAAAGATGAGGCAACTGTTGAAAATGTTGAGACACACAAAGTGACTTACCATGCTGATGAAGCCCCACAGGAAGAGCCTGAAGACCTTGATGGTGTTGCTGAAACAAAGAATGTGGACATTAAAGATCTAGAAACAGAAATAGCAAAGCTGGAAGAGGAGGAGAAGGAGCGCTACAGACAGGGACAACCAGAAGGTACAGAAGAACCTGAAGACGAAGTCTCACCTGATGAAGTAGAGATTGAAGCAGAGGTTTCATCACCATCAGAAGAAGAGCCTCAAGAGCCCCGACAGAAGAAGCGTCAAGCAACAAAGAAAACGCCAACAACATCAAAGAGAACAGAAGAGAAACCAAGGAAGAAAACAGAAGAACCAAGGAAGAGGCGTGAAGTAAGCCCAAGGAAGAAACCTGAGACCGAGGAACCATCGCGTAGAGCTCCTGCTTCTAGGAAACTGCCAGGCAAGGATGACTCTCCAACTCGTCGTGTTCCAGCCCAGAGGGAACCCATCCCAACTAGGGATTCTACAAGGCGTGCTCCCAAACCCAACACGTCCCCACAGCGGGTGCCAAGCTCTCCCCACCGCGGACGTTCACCCAACAGGTCAGGAGTGTCGACCCCGAGGGAGGTGACACCGACAGATCGTCAGTGCTGTAAGAAACACAGGGAAGCAAATGAACCAGAACCTGTTAGTCCAACTAGAACACAAAAGACAACGCCTCGATCAACTGTTCCATCAGCCAAGAAGACAACTTCTCCCGAGGGAAAACCAAGAATGAATGGTGATGTCCGCCGTACTCCAGCAGAGCCAAGAGTGAATGGTGATATAAACAGGAAGCCAGAGGACAGGGCTCCAAGGACAAGGAGGACAGTAGAGAAGCCAAGTGAACCAGAAAGACCTGCTGTGCGACCATCAAGGCTCTCACAGACTCCCAGGAAAACTCCAACAGCAAGATCACCCGATAAGAGGGAGCCAACAAGGCCATTATCCTCCAGGGTGACTGACAGAAAAAGTCCAACTAAACCCTCTGAGAAGAGTCCTAAGAGTAGGTCTCCAAATTCTGAACCCAAAGAAAAACCCAAATCAACTTTGTCTGTCCCAGAATCAAAAGATCCTGTGATCACACTTCCTGAAACTCCCATGACAGAGGACATAAAGCCTCTTCCTGATGACAACGAAGTTGGACCTGTAATTGAAGATGTATCCTGTGAGCCAGACCTGCCTTACCACACTATTCACAGGCCTTCTATTGTCCGAGAACCATCAGAGTATCACGCCCCTGACTCTCAGGAGGAGGCGTCAGACTCTTCCCCTGAGCGTTCCAAGGAACCATCTGACACTGAGCTAAAAGACACAAAGCCAGAGAGGAAGAGCAGCAAGAAGCCGCAGGAAAAAGAAACATCACCAGTAAAAGAAGATGTCAGCAAGCCAAGAAAAACTAAACCTTTGGAAAGTCGGCCAAGTGACAAATCTCTTTCTCCCAGAGACAGTGAACCTGCAAGAAGGAAACAGCCAGAGACGAGACGAACAACAAGAGACAGACCATGGCTTACAGAGAAACGTAACTCATTTGAAAAGAGACAAAGTGAACATAAGTTATCACCTGTGAAACCTAATGATGACAAGAAGACTGAGAGAAAGAAACCATATGAGCGAAAACCTAGTGAAGAAACAATTAAGAAACCAAAGGAAGAACCAATTAAAAAACTAAAGCAAGAAAAACCATCAGAAACTCTTCCCACTGAAGAAAGTGATTCACCAAGTGATAGTGAGAGTAAGGAGAATGGAGCTCCGGAAGAAATAACCACGGACGAGGCCCCTGTTCACGAGGCCCCTGTTTACGAGGCCCCTGTTTACGAGGACCCTGTTCACGAGGCCCCTGTTCACGAGGCCCCTGTTCACGAGACCCCTATTCACGAAGCCCTTGTTCATGAAGCCCCTGTTCATGAAGCCCCTGTTCACGAGGCTCCTCAAGACGACAAGCCAACAACAAAGAAGACAGGAGAAATAACTACAAAACTAAGTGACTGGGAAAAGTCGGTTACTTCTCAGATCATCACAGAGAAGAACGAGAAAAACATTACCACGTCAGACATCACAGCTAGAAGGTCAGCATTCAACTATAGAACCCCCCAGCCAGACAACAAGAAAGACAAACCTTCAAGAAAACCGTCTTATGAAATGAAAGAATCCGTGTTCTCTAAGAGGTCACTGTTTGAGCAGCCCAAACAAGAGCCAGTCCCGTCACCCACCAGAAGACCTCTACTTAAAACCACAACCAAGAAGGACGACAAACCTAAGAGACCAGAAGAGCGGAAACCTGTCAAGGAACCTATTATTGTGCCCAAGCATATCTACCCACTTGGTGATGATGAAGATGAACCTGCAGAACAACCTGCCTCAGAACCAGTGAAAGAAGACATTAAGATGACCTCCAGCAAGCTTGTAATGAGTGCCATGGCCACATCCAACCAGACTCGCACGACAGAGGTGCGTAAGGAAAGTACTACTTACACACCGTATGTTGTTGACGAAGATAGGCCAGAAGAAAGTGATACGCTGGTGCCACTGAAGAAGGATCGATCTCCTTCACCCTTCATGAAGGAGAGCTCTTCAGCGCCTCGCAGCAAGGAAGGATCCCCCACACCACGTAGTAAGGAAGGATCCCCTGTTCCACGTAGCAAGGAGTCGTCTCCTGCACCGTTCTCAAAAGAAGGATCCCCCAGTAGGTTTGTTACAGGGAAACCAATAGATAGTGGGATCAACTCCAACAAAATCCGCCGCATTGAGCGTACTGGTAGCAACAAGAAGCTCCTGGAGGACCTCGAGGTATCACGAGAGAGTTTGCCGCACTATCTCTCCACTATTGAGACCATTTTTGACGTCACAATTCTCGAAAATTTGGTATGTTTTCTTGCCATTTGATGTAAATATTTCCTGTAATGTATTTATCAGATATGAGTTGAATTGAGGATTTAAAAGGACATAGGACATAAGTTCTAGGGGCACTCTTATGTAAGTCTTTGTTAATTTACAGTTGGAGAAGGCCGAGTCTTATGAGGAACGTCGTCTTATCCGAGGCCAGTTAAGGCTAGCAAAACGCCCAGGAGCTCACCAAACTACCACACCATCCAGACCATCCACCACCACCACCCGGGCACAGCCTGCAGCACCCAGGCCAACCAGACCTGTGGTGTCTGAGGACTTGAGTCTTGGTGATACTACACGAAAACCTCTCTCAAAATGTAAGTTGAATTTGTTGTAGTGTGTTGTAAGATAAAGCTCGGGTGTCGCTTATGTCTAACAGCTTACTTATTGTCACTAATATCGTTAAGCCTATTTAAGCTTCATTACGTTCTTGTTTTATCTTCAATGTAAGATGAAAGTTTAAAGTCTGCAATCTGTTCTGCTAAAGAAAGCTGCAGGTATTTATCTAAATTCTGATACCTTTCTCAAGTTTATCCCAAAACAGGAACACTTAATACTAATAAAAGAAAGAACTAAAACAATTCTCAAACTAACTTTTTAACACACAAGTTTTGGTCCACGCTAGCACTCCCTTCGCTGTCTATCCTGTCCCACGCCAACAAACTGTTCTCCATAAGCACCTCCTCCGACCTCAAGACCTCTCTTACTGTCTCGAACGCGGACATCACCTCCTCAGGCACCTCCTCCACCAGTGAGGGACACCCAAACCCCAGGCATCCACGTCCCTTCAGGAGGCAAAACTCACGAACTGACTCTGACGGGTTTGTCTTGTCTCCCGTGAGAGATAAAGATGGCAACCCCATGGTGGGAGTGAAGGGAATCACACATAAGATCAAAATATTTCAGTGTGAGTACTGCACCACCTGACTGTCCCGAGGATACCTTCTTCTGTAGAGAGATTTGGGCAACATGTGGTAAAACAGTAGAAGGAGAGAACAAGTGCCTGTAGTTATAGTAGTAAAGTACCAACTTAAGGCAACATATAGTTCGAATGTACTTTAGGTCTTGTCCTCTAGTGAGGCTTAAGACGAGTTTATCAAGGTAACGATCACAATGTTGTATGATAGAAAGTGTTGTTGAAGATGTGGTCTCAGAGCTTGTACACCTATCTGTCTTCATCTCCTTAATACATTATTTAAGAAAATCAAATAAATCTCGCCATATGAGAGATGAATTCTTGAGTTAAACTGTTGGGATAATTAGGAAATGTAATCTTTAATTAAAGATTTAGACAATTCAATTAGGTGCTTCAACGTAATGTGTTGGTTGTTCATGATGATCAAGTCAAAAAGACCCACAGCATGTAAAACAGGTTGGTCTCTTTGTGCGTGCGTGCGTGCGTGCGTGATTGTGTGTGTGTGAGATGGCCACATTAGATACTGGTGGGTGCATGAGGAACATAGCCAGACTGTAACCTTCCACATAGCCAGGGTGCTGCTGTAACTGAAGGTGTTGCTGTAACTTTCAAGTGTTTCTGTAATTCTCAGAATATACTGCTGTATCTGTAAGTGTGTGACCAACATTCAGAGGTTGTTGCCATATCGCCAAGATGGTGTTGCTGTGGTTCTCTTGGTGGGTGTGCTTGTCATGCTGCCTGCGGCTTCCTGCTTGCATGCCTTTACTCTGCTTATGCTCGTTACTGTTAACTGTGATGTTAATAATGGTAAACGTCAGATGAGGTTCACTTTGTCTTGAGTACAGAGACATTGTCAGGCTGCAGTGTCCTGTATGGAGTACTATGCTTACCTTCACCTCTTGTTACATTCTTTCAAAAAATAAAACAGTAATGGAAAAATCATATTGTTAATGATGGATATAATAATAACAAAGTTTCCCTCATGCACCAGTAATATAAAAGCCTAGCCTTAAATAATATTGGCAGTTGTGTTGACAGAAGCAACTATTAATGATGTGTGATTAAGATGAAATTAGAAAGCATTAAAGCACTGTTTATATAATAGAATTTAGATTCATATACTGAAGTTGGTCAGTTGTGACATATTGAATTGGACATAAGAAATAGTTAGCTACAAGACATGATGCGTCATATTAATTGCATGTTAGAGCCCCAAAAATATACTCTTATTATAAATCTGAAGTGTTATTCCTTATCAGCTGATGTGCAATTTTTTTAATAAAACTATCATTGTCACTGTATGTTCGGTGTTATGACTTGATGTTCACCCCGACAGCCGACGAGCCTGAAGATGCTCCGCGACAACCCGAGGAGCAGGAGGAACCCGTCCCTAACACAACACCCACCACCACGCAGCCTTCCCGAAAGCATTCTAGAGACTCCTACAGGGAGTCTTCTAGAGAACCAACTGTGGAGGATAAGGATCCTGCAAGATCACCTAAGAAATACATGGAAGAAGTACCAGAGAGGCATAAGCAGCCTGAGGAACCCAGGAAGTTTGACAGACAAGTAAAGCCTGAGGAACCCAGGAAGTTTGACAGACAAGTAAAGCCTGAGGAACCCAGGAAGTTTGACAGACAAGTAAAGCCTGAGGAACCTAGAAGGTTTGGCCGAGCTACCAAACCTGATGAACCGAAGAAAGTGGAGCCTACAACTAAGACTCCGGAGCCCAGCAGATTCGGAAGGATACAGACGGAACCTAAGAAAGCAGGTGAGTCTCCTGTTTAAACCTGTAATTGTGAGTCAGCCAGGGTCCCTCACCAACACTTTTATGATCACTTACGTTTTTAAAAGTTTGTCTGTAATCACGAGGAGTGTGTAATCCTCAGGTGTCTGTAATCATGAGGTATCTCAATATTTCACGAAGTCATTATCTCTGTGACACCCTGTGTGTCACTCTCTCCCTGTGTGACACTCTCTCCCTGTGTGACACTCTCTCCCTGTGTGACACTCTCTCCCTGTGTGACACTCTCTCCCTGTGTGTCACTATCTCCCTGTGTAACACTCTCTCCCTGTGTGTCACTCTCTCCCTGTGTGTCACTCTCTCCCTGTGTGTCACTCTCTCCCTGTGTGTCACTCTCTCCCTGTGTAACACTCTCTCCCTGTGTGACACTCTCTCCCTGGGTGACACTTTCCCCTGTGTGACACACTCTCCTGTGGCCTCTCTCCCTGTGTGACACTCTCTCCCTGGGTACTTTTCCCCCTGTGACACTTTCCCCTGTGTGACACTCTCTCCCTGTGTGACACTCTCTCCTGTGAAACACTCTCTCCTGTGTGACACTCTCTCCTGTGACTGCCTCTCTCCTGTGTGACCTCTCTCCCTGTGAAACACTCTCCCTGTAAACACTCTCTCCCTGTGTGACCTCTCCCTGTGAAACCTCTCTCCTGTGTGACACTCTCTCCTGTGAAACACTCTCTCCCTGTGTGACCTCTCTCCCTGTGTAACACTCTCTCCCTGTGTGACACTCTCTCCCTGTGTAAATTTCTCTCCCTGTGTGACACTCTCTCCCTGTATACCTTCCCTGTGTAACACTCTCCCTGTGTGACACTCCTCCCCTGTGTGCCACACACTCTCCATGTGTGACACTCTCTCCCTAGGTGACACTCTCTCCCTGTGTGACACTCTATCCCTGTGTGTGACACTCTCCCTGTTTGACACCTCTCCCTGTGACACACCTCCATGTGTGACACCTCTCCCTGGGTGACACTCTCTCCCTGTGGACACCTCCTCCTCTGTGACACTCTCCTGTTTGACACTCTCTCCCTGGGTGACACACTCTCCCTGGGTGAGACACTCTCTCCCTGTGTGACACTCTCTCTTCCTGTGTGACACCTCTCTCCCCGTGACACCTCCTGTGTGACACTTCCCTCCTGTGGCACTCTCTTCCCTGTGTGACACTCTTCCCTGTGTGACACCTCTCTCCTTGTGTGACACCTCTCCCTGTGTGTGACACTCTCCCTGGGTAACACTCTCTCCCTGTGTGTGACACCTCTCCCTGTGTGACACTCTTCCTGTGTGTGCACTCTCTCCCTGTGTGTGACACTCTCTCCCTGTGGACACTCTCTTCCTGTGTGACACCTCTCTCCCTGTGTGACACTCTCTCCCTGTGTGACACCTCTTCCTGTGTGACACTCTTCCCTCTGTGTCACTCTCTCCCTGTGACACTCTCTCTCCCTGTGTGACACCTCTCCCTGTGTGACACTCTCCCCTGTGACACTCTCTCTCCCTGTGTGACACTCTCTCTCCCCTGGTGACACTCCTCTCCCTGTGTGACACTCTCTCCGTGACACTCTCTCCTCCTGCACTCTCTCCCTGTGTACCTCTTCCCTGCACACTCTCCCCTGTGTGACACTCTCTCCCTAGCACTCTCTCCGTGCACACTCTTCCCCTGACACTCTTCCCTGTGACACACCTCCCCTGTGTGACACTCTCCCTGTGTACACTCTCTTCCCGTGTGACACTCTCCCCTGTGTGACACCTCTTCCTGTGTGACACTCTCCCTGTGTGACACTCTCTCTCCCTGTGTGACACTCTCTTCCTGTGTGACACTCTCTCCCTGTGTGACACTCTTCCGTGTCACTCTCTCCCCCTGTGTGACACTCTCTCCTGTGTACCCCTCTCCCTGTGTGACACTCTCTCTCTCCCCGGACACACTCTCTCCCTGGTGACACTCTCCCCTGTGTGACACCCTCTCTCCCTAGTGTGACACTCTCTCTCTCCCACACTCTATCCCTGTTTGACACTCTCCCCCTGTGTGACACCCTCTCCCCTGTTGACACCTCTTCTCCCTGTGTGTGACACTCTTCATCCCTGTGTGACACTCTCCTGTGTGACACCCTCTCCCCGGTGACACCTCTCTCCCTGTGTGACACTCTATCCCTGTTTGACACTCTCTCCCTGTGTGACACCCTCTCCCGTCGGACTCTCTCCCCTGTACACCTCCTGTCACACTTCCCTGTGCATGTTCTCCTCCCTAGGTGACACTCTCTCCCTGTGTGACACTCTATCCCTGTTTGACACTTCTCCTGTGTGACACCCTCTCCTTGTGCGACACTCTCTCCTGGTGACACTCTCTCCTCTGGGACACCTTCCTAGGTGACACTCTCCTGTGTGACACTCTATCCCTGTTTGACACTCTCTCCCTGTGTGTCACTCTCTCCCCTGTGACACACTCTCCCTGTGTGACACTCTCTCCCTGTGTGACACCTCCGTGACACTCTCTCCTGTGTGACACTCTGTGTGACACTCTCTCCCTGTGTGACACCTCCCTGTGACTTCTCCCTGTGTGACACTCTCTCCCTGTGTGTCACTCTCTCTCCCTGTACACTCCGTGTGACACCTCTCCCCTGTGTGACACTCTCCTGTGTGACACTCCCTGTGTGTACACCTCCTCTGTGACACTCCCGTGACACTCTTCCCTGTTGGACACTCTCCCCTGTGTGGCACACCCCTGTGTACCTCCCCGTGACACTCTCCCCTGTGTGACACCTCCTGTGTATACCTCCCTGTGTGTACACCCCTGACCCTCCCCTGTGTGACACTCTCTCCCCTGTGTGACACCCCTGTGTGGTACACTCCTCCTGTGTGACACCTCTCTCCCGTGTGACACTCTCCTGTGTGACACCTCCCTGTGTGTGCACCTCCTGTGACACTCCCTGTGTGACACCTCTCCCCTGACCCCTGTGTGACACCTCCCTGTGTGACCTCTCTCCCCTGTGTGACACCTCTCCCCTGTGACACTCCCTGTGTGGTGCCACTCCCCTGTGACACCTCCCTGTGTGACACCTCTCCCCTGTGTGACACTCCCTGTGTGTGGTACCTCTCCCTGTGTGACACCTCCCCCTGTGTGACACTCCCTGTGTGGCACACCTCCTGACACTCTCCCCCTGTGTGACACCCTGTGTGGCACACACTCTCCCGCACCTCCCCTGTGTGACCCCCTGTGTGACACTCCCTGTGTGGTACACCTCCCGCGCACTTCTCCCCTGGTGACACTCTCTCCCCTGTGTGACACTCTCTGTGTAACACTCTTCCTGTTTACACACTCCCCCTGTGAACCTCCTTGTGTGACACTCTTCCTGTTTCCCCCGTGCTACCTCCTGTGTGACACTCTCCTCGTGTACCTCCCCTGGCTCTCTGTCCTCTCTGCTCCTGTGCTCTTCCTGTGTGACACTCTTCCTGTTTGACACTCTCCCCCCTGTGTGACACCCCCCTGTGTGACACTCCTCCCCTGTGACACTCTCTCCTGTGTGACACTCTCCCCTGGTGTGCCACTCTCTCCCTGGTGACACCTTCCTGTGTACACTCTCCCCTGGGTGACACTCTCCTGTGTGACACGCCTCCCCTGTGTGACACCTCTTCCTGTTTGACACTCTCCCCCTGTGTGACACTCTCTCCCTGTGTGACACCTCTCCCCCTGTGTGACACCTCCTGTGTGACACTTCCCCCTGTGTGTCACCTCCTGACACCTCCCGTGACACTCTCTCTGTGTGCCTCTCCTGTGTGACACTCTCTCCCTGTGACACTCTCCCCTGGGTGACACTCTCCTGTGTGTGACACTCTCTCTCTCCCTGGACACTCCCCCGTGTGACACTCTCCCCTGTGTGACACTCTCTCCCGTGTATACTCTCCCCGTGTGACACTCTCTCCCCTGTGACACCTCCCCTGGGGACACCCCTGTGACACCTCTCTCTCCCTGTGTGACACTCTCTCCCCTGTGTGACCCTCTCCCCTGGGTGACACTCCCCTCCCCTGTGACACTCTCCCTCCCCCTGTGACACACTCTCTCCCTGTGGCACCTCTGTGTGACCCTCTCTCCCGTACCTCCCCTCTCCTGTTTGACACTCTCTCCCTGGGTGACACTCTCCCCTGTGACACTCTCTCTGGGTGACCTCCCCCTGTGTGACACTCTCTCCCTGTGTGACACTCTCCCCGCTCTCCCCCTGGGTGACACCTCCCTGTGACCTCTGTGTGACACCCCCTCTCCCTCTGTGTGACACTCTCTCCTGGGTGACACTCTCCCCTGTGACATCTCTCTCCTGGGTGACACTCTGTGTGACACTCTCCCTGTGTGACACTCTCTCCCCTGTGTGACACTCTCTCTCTCCCTGTGTGCACACTCTCCCCTGGGTGACACCTCCTGGTGTGACACTCTCCCTGTGTGACACTCTCTCCCCTGTGTGACACTCTCCTGGGTGACACTCTCTTCCTGTTCTGCTGACCTCTCCTGTGTGACACTCTCTCTCCCTGTGTGACCCTCCTGCACTCTCCTGGGTGACACTCTCTCCCTGTTTGACACTTCCCCTGTGTGACACTCTCTCCCTGTGTGACACTCTCCTGTGTGACACTCTCTCCCCTGTGTGACCCTCTCCCTGACCTCTCCTGTGTGACACTCTCTCCCTCGGTGACACTCTCTCCCTGTGTGACACTCTCCCCTGTGACACCTCCGTGTGACACTCTCTCTCCCTGGGTGACACTCTCTTCCTGTTTCACTCTCCCCTGTGTGACACTCCTCTCTCCCTGTGTGACACTCTCTTCCCCTGTGTGACACTCTCCTGGAGACTCTCTCCCTGGGTGACACTCTCCCCTGTACACTCTCCCTGGGGACACTTCCCCTGTGACACACTCTCTCCCTGTGTGACACTCTCTCCTGTGTGACACTCTCCCCCTGGGTGACACTCTCTGCAGACACACCCCTGTGTGACACTCTCCCCTGTACACACTCCCTGTGTGCTCCCCTTCCTGTTTGACCTCTCTCCCTGGGCCCTCCTGTACCTCTCCCCTGTGTGACACTCTCCTGGGTGACACTCTCTCTCCCCTGTACTCTCCCCTGTGTGACACTCTCCTGTTGACACCTCCCCTGTGTGGCACTCCAACCTCCCCCTGTGTGACACCTCTGTTTGACACTCTCCCCCTGTGTGACACTCTCCCCTGTGTGACACTCTCTCCCCTGTGACACTCCTTCCCCTGGACACCTCTCCCCTGTGTGACACCCCTGTGCGACACTCTCTCCCTGTGTGACACTCTCCTCCCCTGTGCTAACCTCTCCCTGTGTGACACCCTGTGGACACCCTGTGTGCACACTCCCTGTGTGACACCTCTCCCTGTGGCACACCTCCCTGTTTGACACTCTCTCCCTGTTTGACACTCTCCCTGTTTGACATCACCCCTGTGGACACTCTCCTGTGTGACACTCCTCCCTGTGTGACACTCTCTCCCTGTCACCTCCTGTGTGACACTCTCCCTGTGTGACACTCTCCTGTTTGACACTCTCCCTGTTTGACACTCACTCCCTGTGTGACACTCTCTCCCTGTTTGACACTCTCCTGTGTGACACCTCCTGTGTGACTCTCCTGTGTGACACTCTCCCTACACTCTCTCCCCCTCCCCCGTGCCTCTCCCTGTTTGACCTCTCTCCTGTGTACACTCTCCTGTGTGACTCTCCCCTGTTTAACCTCTCCTGTTACACTCTCTCCCTGTTTGACCTCCTCCCTGTGTGACACTCTCTCCCTGTGTGACCCCTCCTGTGTGACACTCTCCCTGTGTGACACCTCCCTGTTTGACACTCTCTCTCCCTGTTTGGACACTCACTCCTGTGTGACATCTCCCCTGTGTGCTCTCCCCTGTTTGACACTCTCTCCCCTGTTTGACACTCACCCTGTGTGTGACACTCTTCTCGTGTGACACTCTCTCCCTATGTGTACACTCTCCCAATGTGGCACAATCTCCTATTGACACTCTCCTGTGTTCTCTTCCCCTGTGTACACTATCTCTTTGTGTCACTATCTTCTGTGTCACTATCTCGCTGTGTCACTCTGTCTCTGTGTGTGCACTATCTTCCTGTGTCACTATCTGTGTGTTACCATTTCCCTGTGTCACTATGTCTGTGTGTCACTATCACTGTGTGTGTCACTATTCTCCTGTGTCACCATGTCTCTGTGTGTCACTATTTCCCTGTGTCACTATGTCTGTGTGTCACTATCACTGTGTGTCACTATATATCTGTGTGTCACTATGTCTGTGTGTCACTATCACTGTGTGTCACTATTTCCCTGTGTCACTATGTCTCTATGTGTGTCACTATCACTGTGTGTCACTATCTTCCTGTGTCACCATGTCTCTGTGTGTCATCACTGTGTCACTATATATCTGTGTCCACTATGTCTCTGTGTCACTATATCTGTGTGTCACTATATCCCTGTGTCACTATGTCTGTGTGTCACTATCACTGTGTCACTATATATTCTGTGTCACTATGTCTCTGTGTCATCACCACGTGTGTCACTATCTCCTGTGTCACTATATCTGCACTATTCCCTGTGTCACTATGTCTGTGTGTCACTATCACTGTGTGTCACTTCTTCCTGTGTCACTATCACTGTGTGTCACTATCTCCTGTGTCACTGTCTGTGTGTCACTATCTCTGTGTCACTATCACTGTGTCACTATCTCTGTGTGTCACTATCTTCCTGTGTCACTATCACTGTGTCACTATATATCTGTGTCACTATGTCTCTGTGTCACTATCACTGTGTGTCACTATCTTCCTGTGTCACTATATCTGTGTGTCACTATTCTGTGTCACTGTCTGTGTGTCACTATCACTGTGTGTCACCATCACTGTGTGTCACTATCTCTGTGTGTCACATCTTCCTGTGTCACTATGTCTCTGTGTGCAACTATATCCTGTGTGTCACTATCTCTGTGTCACTGTCTATGTTACTATCACTATGTGTCACTATTCTGTGTCACTATGTCCTGTGTGTCACTATTCCTGTGTCACTATGTCTCTGTGTGTCACTGTCTGTGTTACTATCACTGTGTCACTATCTCTGTGTGTCACTATTCCCTGTGTCACTATGTCTCTGTGCACTATTCCTGTGTCACTGTCTCTGTGTGTCACTGTCTATGTGTTACCACCATCTCTGTGTGCTCCCTGTGTCACATGTCCTGTGTGTCACTATTCCTGTCCTGTGTGTCACTGTCTCCCTGTGCCTATTCACTCTGTGTCACTATTTCCCTGTGTCACTAGTCTCTGTGTCACTATCATCTCCACATCCTGTGTCACTATGTCCTGTGTGTCACTATTTCCCTGTGTCACTATCTCTGTGTGTCACTGTCTATGTGTTGTCACTATCACTGTGTCACTATCCTGTGTGTCACTATTTCCCCTGTGTCACTATGTCTCTGTGTGTCATGTGTTACTATCACTGTCACTATCTCTGTGTGTCACTATTTCCTGTGTCACTATGTCTCTGTGTTTATGTTCACTGTCTATGTGTTACTATCACTGTGTGCACTATTCTGTGTGTCACTATTTGTGTCACTATGTCTCTGTGTGTCACTATTTCCTGTGTCACTATGTCTCTGTGTCACTGTCTATGTGTTATCATCTGTGTCACTATCTCTGTGTGCACTATTTCCCTGGTCACTATGTCTCTGTGTGTCACTATTTCCTGTGTCATGTCTCTGTGTCACTGTCTATGTGTTACTATCACTGTGTCATCTCATGTGTCACTATTCCCTGTGTCACTATGTCCTGTGTGTCACTATTTCCCTGTGTCACTATGTCTCTGTGTGTCACTGTCTATGTGTTACTATCACTGTGTCACTATCTCTGTGTGTCACTATTTCCCTTGTCACCCTGTGTGTCACTTTTTTTTAGTATTAGCCCACCCGGGCACAGGTTACTGACCCACATCGGCTCAAGTAATAATAATAAGACACATAATGATATAAATATTATTATTTATTATTATTATATATATATTATTATTAATTATATTATATATATATTATTATTATTATTATTATTATTATTATTATTATTATTATTATTAAAGAACCATAAATACAAAAACGAAAAAAAGATCAAAAGTGAGAAACAATATATGTAGGTTGTGTTGTCAATAGTTAGAGAAATAATTGAGACCCTGCAATTGTGTGTCACAATTTTCGTGATGCCATATAGCAGCAGGGTCTACCATTAGACAATACATTATGCTCCCTGTTTGGATGCCTGCTGCCGCTCTGTGTCTCTATCATCTCTCTGTGTGTCTCATTCTGTCGTCCTCACCCCCAGCACCATCGAATGAGCCGTACTCAGAGCCACTGCGGTACCAGAAAGGACAGAGCCGCACCCCGTCCAAACCTGCCACAGAACAGAGCGACGTGGACAAGATCGTCAGCGCTTACGGTGTTGGACCCACAGATGAGAATGGCTTACCTCTGTTTGGTCTCAGAGCTCTGAAGAGACGCTCACCTCCCACCACATGTGAGAATTGAACACATCTTTCTTGTTCTTTAACTAATGGCATATTTATCTGAGGTTCTTAATGCAAGGTGACCGTAACTGATGCCCCTAATTTGTCAAGACCCTCCCCCCAGGATCTCCTTTTTGGCCAAGTTCCTCAAGTATGTTATAGTACTGTTATTACCACAGGTGTGTCATGGTAGTACTGTTATTACCACAGGTGTGTCATGGTAGTACTGTTATTACCACAGGTGTGTCATGGTATTACTGTTATTACTTACCACAAGTGTTTCATGGTAGTATTATTCCTGCTGCAGGTGTGACCACTCCTAGAGGATCAACTCCTGCTGAAGAATCAAAACCCCAGGAGGAACCTCGGCCTACCTCAGAAGTAGATGAACCCAATGAGGATGTGTTAAGGACTCCTCTACACTTCTTGGTCTTCGAGCTCTGAAGAAGTCACCGCCTGTCACCACTGCCCTGACCACCACAGAGTCAGCACCTGAGAGAGCCACATCAGGTAGGTTCTTGTGTAGTAAAAATAAAATAGATATTACATGTTAGTTATAATCTGCTCTCGCCCAGTCACTCAGCCTTACAGCCATCCTTTTTAGTTTATACAGTAGTCAACCAGACAGTCATCCAACCTTTTATACAACCTTCCAATCATCCAGTTAATCAGCTTTTCATTCAACCAACCAATCATACAGTCAATCAACAGTTTATTCAGCCAATCAGTCAGCCATTTGATCAACCAGCCAGTCACCCAGTCAGTCACCCGTTCATTCAACCAGTCACCTAACTACAGTAGTCTTGAATGGTATTCATTAATCTGGTAAACAGGTTAAGAGAGAGAGACCACTGAAGGGGTGGAGCAGTGACACTTGTTTATAACTGTGATCAGTGTGTAAGGCTCTACACTGGTACACACAGTATGTAGTGGGCTTCACACTGGTACACACAGTGTGTTAGGCTCTACACTGGTACACACAGTGTAAGGCTCACAATGGTACACACAGTGTGGGGCTCTACACTGGTACACACAGTGTGTTAGTGGCTCTACACTGGTACATGTGTTAGGCTCACACTGGTACACACAGTGTGTTAGGCTCACACTGGTACACACACAGTGTGTTAGGGTTCTACACTGGTACACACAGTGTGTTTCTACTGGTACACACAGTGTGTAAGGCTCTACACTGTACACACAGTGTTAGGCTCACACTGGTACACACAGTGTGTTAGGCTCTACACTGGTACACACAGTGTGTTAGGCTCTACACTGGTACACACAGTGTGTAGGTTTCACACTGCACACAGTGTGTGGCCTCACACTGGTACACACAGTGTGTAAGGCTCTACACTGGTACACACAGTGTGGGGCTCTACACTGGTACACACGTATAGCTCTACACTGGTACACACAGTGTGAGGCTCACACTGGTACACACAGTGTGTTTAGGCTCTACACTGGCACACAGTGTGTTAGGCTCTACACTGGTACACACAGTGTGTTAGGCTCTACACACACACAGTGTGTTAGGCTCTACACTGCACACAGTGTGTTAGGCTTACAACAGGCATACTGTGTGGGTACCAATGGCAGAGTTGTAGTGCAAGTTGGGTTTTACACTGCACACAGTGTGTAAGGCTCTACAATGGTACACACAGTGTGTTAGGGCTCTACACTGCACACAGTGAGCTTCACACTGGTACACACAGTGTGTAAGGCTCTACTAATGGTACACACAGTGTTAGGCCTACACTGGTTACACACAGTGTGGCCCTGCATACACAAGGGTCTACTGGTCACAGTTTAGGGTCTTACACTGGTACACACAGTGTGTTAGGCCCTACACTGGTACACACAGTGTGTAAGGCTCCACACTGGACACACAGTGTGTAAGGCCTACACTGGACACACAGTATGTGAGGTTCCTGGTACACACACAGTGTGTAAGGCTTCACACTGGTCAACACACACAGTATGGCTCTACACTGGTACACACACAGCGTAAGGCTCTACACTGGTACACACACACAGTATGTAAGGCTCACACTGGTACACACAGTATGTATAGGCTCTACACTGGTCACACACAGTAAGGCTCTACACTGGCACACACAGCATGTAAGGTCTACCACACGCCCCACACTGGTACACACACTATATGGACTCCCTACACTGGTACACACAGCATGTAAGGTCTCACACTGCACACGTATGTGCTCACACTGGTACACACAGTATGTAAGGCTCACACTGGTACACACAGTATGTAAGGCTCACCTGCACACACACAGCATGTAGGTTCTACACTGGTACACACAGTATAATGCTCCACACTGGTACACACAGTATGTAAGGCTCTACACTGGTACACACAGTATGGCTCACCTGCACACAGTATGTAAGGCTCACACTGGACACACAGTATGTAAGGCCCCACACTGGTACACACACAGGCTCTACACTGGTACACACAAGTATGTAAGGCTCTACACTGCACACACAGTATGTAAGGCTCTACACTGGTACACACAGCATGTAAGGCTCCACATGGTACACACATAGGTAAGGCTCTACACTGGTACACACAGTATGTAAGGCTCTACACTGGCACACACAGTATGTAAGGCTCTCACACTGGCACACACAGTATGTGGGCTCTACACTGGTACACACAGTATGTAAGGCTCTACACTGGTACACACAGTATGTAAGGCTCTACACTGTACACACAGTATGTAAGGCCTAACTGGTACACACAGTATGTAAGGCTCTACACTGGTACACACAGTATGTAATGCTCTACACTGGTACACAGCATGTAAGGTTCTCACTGGCACATAGTATGTAATGCTCTACACTGGTACACACATAGTATGTAATGCTCTACACTGGTACACACAGTATGTAAGGCTCTACACTGGCACACACAGTATAAGGCTCCACACTGGTACACACAGTATGTAATGCTCTACACTGGTACACACAGTATGTAAGGCTCTACACTGGTACACACAGGCATGTATGCTCACACTGGACACACACAGAAAGCTCACACTGGTACACAGTATGTAAGGCTCTACACTGGTACACACAGTATGTAGCCCACACTAGCACACGTGTAGGCCCCACACTGGCACACACAGTATGTAATGCTCTACACTGGTACACACAGTATGTAAGGCTCCACACTCACACACAGTATGAGGCTCTACACTGCACACACAGTATGTAAGGCTCTACACCACACAGCATGTAAGGTTTCTACACTGGTACACACAGTATGTAATGCTCTACACTGGTACACACAGTATGTAAGCCCACACTGGTACACACACAGTATGTAAGGCTCACACTGCACACACAGTGTAAGGCTCTACACTGGTACACACAGTATGTAATGCTCTACACTGGTACACACAGTATGTAAGGCCCTACACTGGCACATGTAATGCTCTACACTGGTACACACAGTGTGTAAGGCTCACACTGGCACACAGGTAATGCTTCCACACAGTATGTAAGGCTCTACACTGGTACACACAGTATGTAAGGCTCTACACTGGTAACACAGTATGTAAGGCTCTCACTGGTACACCCGGTAAAAAACTATCTATACAAATCTTGTGAAACAAAATGACACCACGAACTAAGGTTTTGATAAAGGCCCAAAAGGCATACCTCGCATTGGTAGCCATTCAGTATGTTCAGTAATGTAGACTCTCTGTATTTTAAATTTTCACCTCTTTTTCCAACATTGGAACTGTAAGTGATCACATGATCAGGATCCCACAAAGAAATTGTTAGTAACAAGGTGCCACCCATCTTCTCTACCTGTATCAAGGAAAATATGTTTTAGTATCTCATGAAGATTATCCACCCAGGATATTTCATCTGAATGATACCTGGAGGCTAACTATATCTTTAGTTAATTAGTTATAGGTAAATTTGTAATAAATGCTAAGTTAGCCTCAGTACTGTAGTCACCCCAGAGAAGGTGTTACCTCAATGTGATCCATTTTCTTCTGGCAGTTGTTGAGAGACGGGATACTGCTTCATCTGTGGTGGAGAGCAGCCGTCTGGTGTCTAGTGTCATGTCTCAGCGTGCTACTCATGCAAGTATGTCTTTATTACTTATTTTAACTCTTTTGAGAGAGACGACTGTCTCACCTATATTTAATTATTTAACAGAGTAATTACTAACTGGGATATAGAACTGTCTTCGCCAATACTTGATGTGGGGCAGCAGTTATTACCCACTATACAGTTTGATGAAAACATTTTAATATAGTTACTATATTGTGCTTTTTAACCTTCCATGATAAGGCTTACTTATATCATCTCCAAAACAATGCCTTTTTACTTAATTTACTCTAATGATGCTTTTATAAAACTTTTAACAAAGAATTTAATACATCATATACATTACCATTTCTACAAGCTTTTCTAAAAATCAGCGTTTAGTAATATAATGGAGTTAATGAGGTCAGACACAGTGTAGTCAACACATGATATTTACCCACTACCACACATGCTAGCTGAGGTGGTCAGCACAGAGTCCCCCCACGACTCTGACAGTCTGGAGACCGAGGAGGAGGACCAGGAGAGTGATAGTGAGGAAGATGAGGAAGCTCTCCAACATTACTCTGATGAAGGTAACACTAACAGTTCTCCTTCACATCAGCTCAAGAAGCAGCTCACGTTGGAAGTCACTATACTGCACAATACTCAGATTAATTTACTTACTTAATCCCTTTGCTATTTGTCAGCTTACTAGCCGTCAGTTCTTTGCTGGCAGGAACTGGGTATGCACACTACACAAGGTCTGGATGTACAATCTCATTCAAGATTCTTCAAACACTGCTGGAAACAGCTGGAAACTTGAGGCCGTTTGTTTACGATAGTATACTGTATAGTAAAAATTATGAATAAATGTAAAAGTGATCGGTGATTGGTTACTTAGTTCCCTGTTGCTTAATTTAATGGTTGGGCTCTGTTGTTTCGTATTATCTTGTACTATGTACTATAGTAAAGAAACGGCCTTGGGTTGTCAGCTGTCTCCCACAGTTTTCGAAGAATCTTGAACGAGACTGTACCCCAACTTGCTGGTCTAGCCTGGACTTTAAAGAGTTAACATTTGGTGTTGCCACATTTCTTGGTCTATTATTCCACAAGATCACAACCAAATGTTATGAAACTAAGTAAAGGACAGATTTAGATGTGTGATACAATGCAAGTGTGAGAGGTCCCCTATGTTCACTGTGTAATTAATGTTTTATTCTAGATTTAAACAAACTACTTAATCATTATACTCTATAAAAAGTGTATGCTTACTATACATGTTGTCTAATTTTGCTTTAAATACATTATTTTGTATCATCTTTACTTGTTGCTCTACTAAACTTGGTCTTAATCTTGAAAGAGTATGGAAACTACTTGCTAAAAATTTCAAGATATTCTCCTAAGTCTCAGTTCCACCTCACACAGAAGAAACTTCTCCTGGGTTAGTTAAAAACTTCAGAGATTCCTTTAAGAAGGAACCTCAGCCCACAACAAAGGTCACATCACGGCCTAAAGACACCACGACCAGTCAGTCACCAGATGATGAGGTCATCGGCAGAAGGTCACAGCCACTCAGAGACATTCTCAAACTCCATGAATCTAAAGGTCAGTACTTCACTTTATTTTATCATCTTCACTCCTGGTCAGCTCACTACTCAGCACAGTACAGTACAGTACTGTCTTCCAAATGTATGATAAACAGAATAAACCAATTATGTTCTAGATCTTGATTCTCACAGATTTATACTGTTACTCATAGTTTAAAAGCTCCTGCACAAGAATTATATCTATTATAAAATTTACCTCGATAGACTTCCATGATGCATTGTTAAACGGAGTTGCTGCTAACTAATGTACTACTGTATCTTTATTTATGAATGCAGCATAAAGTCGGTTTTATATCCTAGATAAGAATAAAACTCGTGTATTGGAAATGTAAGTAGGCCACACCTTCCCAAACCTAACTTAACCTAATCTAACCTAACCTAGAAATTTAATCAACATACTGACTTAACTTACTCTAACCAACTAACTATTCAAGCTTAATATAACCTAACAACCCAGAAATATAATCAAATACGAACATAATCATACTTAATGTAACCTAACCTAACTTAACCCAGTATTGTAATCAACCTGTAACATAATCAAACCTAATGTAACCTAACCTAACCAAACCCAGGAATGTATCCAACCTTTTTGCAATGCTAATTTATTTCAGTGCAAGAACCAGCAGTTGCGGAGGAGTCCCCGCGCCTCAAGCCCAAGCAGAGGCTCCGGGAGAACTTTGAGACAACGTCTGAGAAACAGGAGAGTCGCGTCCACAAGACCTGGGACATGCAGACTGACCTCAGTACCAGGTCACTCAACATGAAGAACATTATCGCCCAGCACGAGACTATCACATCAGATGACACACCCAAGCCTAAGAAACTGACTGGGATCCTGAAGAAAACATCAAGTTCGAACATTCTGAGCATAGAGACACGTTCCTCAGTTACTGCTGAAACTACTACAGACAGTGAGTTTGTGGTGCTCAAAATATTTTTTGTTACTCTTTTAAGCCTTTCCCACTACATGATATAGCACAGGATGACCATAATAAAATAAAGCGAATACATTCGTTCTATTTTTACTGGTAAGTTAAAGATTTAATCTGTACAGAAAACGATCACAGCTAACACTTTTGGGTAATAGTTGGGAGCTTTTGTGATAACCTGCAAGGGAATGTTTTATTAGCACCAACTGTGAGCTTTAAGTCCAGACTTGACAAACACAACATGATCAGATACATTCGAGCACCTTTAAACCCAGAACTTCTCATCACTATGTAGCAGACATTTGACACATATTTTATGTTGAGGATTTATATTTTTCTATGCCATCAAAATTGTTCATTAAGATATCATTTTATATTAAAGTATGAGAACAAATCCATAATAAAAAAAATGGGAGAGATATTTGCAAACACATAAAGTTCATCCAAGAGTGTGTGAACTTTGGGACAAGTAAGAGGTGTGGATGGCTGCCAGACACATGCAGCAGATATGAACCAACTGTGATAGGCCCAGCTCATATGTGTATGTTCTCTAATATTCACATATTACCTGATGTCAAGAAACAAAATGTGAGGAAATAAATTTTTACTTTTCTTCATCTTCTTTGCCACTGATTAACCTGTTAGCTGATCGGGTGATCTGTCACTTCTCCTTTAATTTTTTTTAGGAAGTACTGGGCATGTATTGGCTGCAGAATGAATTTGTACCTATGCCATTGTTAGTGAAATTTGATCTTGAATGAGCTCGCACATGGTGTTGTCATGCACACATTTACATGTAAAAGATTCAAACACATATTTGCATTGGTAAGGAGAACATCAAGGTCAGGCTATGGGGTATCATGGGGTACTGCTCCATTACACTTTTGTTTATATATTTTTTATTAATATACAGTAGCTTTATTTTAAATTGTATTTCTCAAAATAGTTGACCTTTTAGGTGAAACTAAAGAGGATGTGACCGTCAAACAACAGCTGAACTCTACAGATGATATCCTGGACACACTCACTGAGGATCAGATCACCAGACTCTCTGAGGAGTTTGACCTCCGGGCGCAAGATGACGGAGTGATCAAGACAGAGGAGGAGTCGATGGAGGAATTGAGTGGTGGGTACCAAGTGACTTCCAGGAAGGAGGAGGATCATACAGATGGTTCAAAATTTGTGAGAAAAACTTCATACACTGAGATCAAACTCCAGCAGCCTAGCACTGAGGAGGGTAAGTGACCACCTGGAGTAAAGTTTGTGGCTCTGATTCTGTGTTGTGCATCGAGTTGACTATATCGATGAATATTAGTACAGTGTAGGTAGAGAGGCTGTCATTGTGTTGTACAGTACTGAATAACTTCAATACTTAACCCCTTTTCACTTGTTTGAAAGTTTTTCTTCTAATATCCATAGATGTTTACTCTTTTGGGTTCCCTAAGATGTTTACTTACTCTTGTTGGCTCCCTAAGATGTTTACTAACTCATGTTGGCTCCCTAAGATGTTTACTAACTCATGTTGGCTCCCTAAGATGTTTACTTACTCTTGTTGGCTCCCTAAGATGTTTACTAACTCATGTTGGCTCCCTAAGATGTTTACTTAGTCATGTTGGCTCCCTAAGATATTTACTTACTCTTGTTGGCTCCCTAAGATGTTTGCTTACTCTTGTTGGCTCCCCGAATATGTTTACTTACTTTTGTTGGCTCCCTAAGATATTAATTACTCTTGTTGGCTCCCTAAGATGTTTGCTTACTCTTGTTGGCTCCCCGAACATGTTTACTTACTTTTGTTGGCTCCCCAAATAATCCCTCAAGACATGAAATCATCTAGTGATCCTTGAGACCAAAAATGACTCAAACAAATATTTAAGAGAAAGATATTTAAGTTATTCAGTACAAATTGTATTATAACCAGTAAAGAGCTGATATATACAGTAGTCTCCCTCTAATTGATGAATTATGAAAGAAAGTGTAATAGTTGATGCATATCACAGAGTTGGGGTATGTGTGTATGTTTGACTTTTAGAATGCATGCCCAATAGGCAACTTGTCTTGTAAATAGTTCATTAGATTAATAAGGAACCCCTTAAACGTTTGCGGAGTTTCAATGTTAAGGTGAGTAGTAAATAATCATATATTTGTCATAAATTTTACTTTGAGTCTGTTAAATCCCAGGTACCCGTCATGATGATCTCAGCGATCATGAACATCGTGACCATGACAAAAGACAAACAACACAGCATGACAAAATAGACACTCGCAGACATGTTTCACAGGTGATATCTAAGTCCTCTAGGGAAAGTAGTGTTAGGAAAACAACATCTGTATCAGGCTTGAGGGTTGGTGAGTTGTCAAAACCACCACAACCAACCGAGGGTAAACCTCACAAACCAAATGATAGTGATCCAGGAAAGAAAAAAATCGCTCACAAGTTAAGTGATGATGAACCAGAGAAAAGGAAGAAGAGTCCAGGTAGGCCAAGTGATGAACCAGGGACAAGGAAAAAGAGTCCAGGTAGGCCAAGTGATGAACCAGACACAAGGAAAAAGAGTCCAAGTAGGCCAAGTGATGAACCAGAGACAACGAAGAAGAGTCCAACTAGGCCAGGTGATGAACCAGGGACAATCAGGAGGAGGCCAGGTGATGAACCAGAGACTGTCAGGAAGAGGCCAGGTGATGAACCAGACACTGGCAGGAGAAGGCCAGGTGATGAACCAGAAGCAAGGAAGAAGAGTCCAACTAGGCCAGGTGATGAACCAGGGACAATCAGGAGGAGGCCAGGTGATGAACCAGAGACTGTCAGGAGGAGGCCAGGTGATGAACCAGAGATTGTCAGGAGGAGGCCAGGTAAACCGGAGACTGTCAGAGGAGGCCAGGTGATGAACCAGACACAAGGAAGAGAAGAGCAACTAGCCAGGTGATAAACCAGACGCAAGGAAGAAGATCCAACCAGCCAGGTGATAAACCAGACTGCTGTGGGAGGCCAGGTGATGAACCAGAGACTGTCAAGAGGGGAGGCCAGGTGATGAACCAGACACAAGGAAGAAGAATCCAATTAGGCCAGGTGATGAACCAGAGACTGTCAGAGGAGGCCAGGTGATGAACCAGGAGACTGTCAAGAGAGGCCAGGTGATGAACCAGACACAAGGAAGAAGAGTCCAACTAGGCCAGGTGATGAACCAGAGACAGTCAGGGAGGAGGCCAGTGGATAAAACCAGAGACTGTCAGGAGGAGGCCAGGTGATGAACCAGACACAAGGGAAGAAGAGTCCAACTAGCCAGGTGATAAACCAGACTGTCAGAGGAGGCCAGGTGATGAACCAGAGACAGTCAGGAGGAGGCCAGGTGATGAACCAGAGACTGTCAGGAGGAGGCCAGGTGATGAACCAGACACAAGGAAGAAGAGTCCAACTAGGCCAGGTGATGAACCAGAGACAGTCAGGAGGAGGCCAGGTGAAGAACCAGAGACTGTCAGAGGAGGCCAGGTGATGAACCAGAGACAGTCAGGAGGAGGCCAGGATGAACCAGAGACAGTCAGGAGGAGGCCAGGTGATGAACCAGGAGACTGTCAGGAGGAGGCCAGGTGATGAACCAGACACAAGGAAGAAGACTCCAACTAGGCCAGGTGATGAACCAGAGACTGTCAGAAGGAGGCCAGGTATGAACCAATGACTGTCAGGAGGAGGCCAGGTAATGAACCAGACACAAGAAAGAAGAGCTAACTAGCCAGGTGATGAACCAGAGACTGTCAGGAGGGGACCAGGTGATGAACCAGAGAGGTCAGGAGTAGGCCAGATGAACCAGACTGCCAGTAGGAAGCCAGGTGATGAACCAGACACTGTCAGGAGGAGGCCAGGTGATGAACAAGAGGTCAGAGGAGGCCAGGTGATGAACCAGACAAGAAAGACGAGTCCAACTAGGCCAGGTGATGAACCAGAGACAGTCAGGAGGGGGTGATGAACCAGACACAAGGAAGAAGAGTCCAACTAGGACAGGTGATGAAACCAGAAACTGTCAGGAGGAGCCAGGTGATGAACAGACACTGTCAGGAGGAGGCCAGGTGATGAACCAGAGACTGTCAGGAGGGAGGCCAGGTGATGAACCAGAGACAAGGAAGAAGAGTCTAACTAGGCCAGGTGATGAACCAGAAACTGTCAGGAGGAGGCCAGGTGATGAACCAGAGACTGTCAGGAGGGAGGCCAGGTGATGAACCAGAGACAGTCAGGAGGAAGCCAGGAGATGAACCAGACACACGGAAGAAGAGTCCAACTAGGACAGGTGATGAACCAGAGATTGTCAGGAGCAGGCCAGGTGATGAACCAGAGACTGTCAGGAGGCAGCCAGGTGATGAACCAGAGACTGTCAGGAGGAGGCCAGGTGATGAACCAGAGATTGTCAGGAGGAGGCCAGGTGATGAACCATAACAAGGAAGAAGAGTCCAACTTGGACAGGTGATGAACCAGAGATTGTCAGGAGGAGGCCAGTATGAACCAGGCACGGAAAGAGTCCAACTAGGCCAGGTGATGAACCAGAGACTGTCAGAAGGAGGCCAGGTGATGGACCAGAGACAAGGAAGAAGAGCCCAACTAGGCCAGGTGATGAACCAGAGACTGTCAGGAGGCAGCCAGGTGATGAACCAGGAGACTGTCAGCAGGAGGCCAGGTGGTGATGAACCAGACACAAGGAAGAAGAGTCCAACTAGGCCAGGTGATGAACCAGAGACTGTCAGAAGGAGGCCAGGTGATGGACCAGACACAAGGAAGAAGAGCCCAACTAGGCCAGGTGATGAACCAGAGATTAGGAGGGAGGCCCGTGATGAACCAGACACAGGAAGAAGAGCCCAACTAGGCCAGGTGGATGAACCAGAGAGTGTCAGGAGGAGGCCAGGCGAGGAACCAGAGAGTGCCAGGAGGAGGCCAGGTGATGAACCAGAGACTGTCAGGAGGAGGCCAGTGATGAACCAGAGACTGTCAGAGGAGGCCAGGTGATGAACCAGACTGTCAGAGGAGGCCAGGTGATGGACCAGACACAAGGAAAGAGTCCAACTAGGCCAGGTGATGAACCAGAGACAGTCAGGAGAGGCCAGGTGATGAACCAGAGAGTGTCAGGAGGAGGCCAGGTGATGGACCAGACACAAGGAAGAAGAGTCCAACTAGGCCAGGTGATGAACCAGAGAGTGTCAGGAGGAGGCCAGGTGATGAACCAGAGACTGTCAAGGGAGGCCAGGTGATGGACCAGACACAAGGAAGAAGAGTCCAACTAGGCCAGGTGATGAACCAGAGACAGTCAGGAGGAGGCCAGTGATGAACCAGAGAGTGTCAGGAGGAGGCCAGGTGATGAACCAGAGTGTCAGGAGGAGGCCAGGTGATGAACCAGAGACTGTTAGAAGGAGGCCAGGTGATGAAACCAGAAACTGTCAGGAGGAGGCCAGGTGATGAACCAGACAAGGAAGAAGAGTCCAACTAGGCCAGGTGATGAACCAGACTGTCAGAAGGAGGCCAGATGATGAACCAGAGAGTGTTAGGAAGGAGGCCAGGTGATGAACCAGAGACTGTCAGGGGGAGGCCAGAACCAGACACAAGGGAAAAGAGTCCAACTAGGCAAGGTGATGAACCAGAGACAGTCAGGAGGAGGCCAGGTGATGAACCAGAGACTGTCAGAAGGAGGCCAGGTGATGAACCAGAGGTCAGGAGGAGGCCAGGTGATGACCAGACACAAGGAAGAAGAGTTCAACTAAGCCAGGTGAGAACCAGAGACTGTCAGGAGGAGGCCAAGTAAAGAACCAGAGAGTGTCAGGAGGCAGCCAGGTGATGAACCAGAGACTGTCATGAGGACGCCAGGTGATGAACCAGAGACTGTCAGGAGGAGGCCAGGTGATGAACCAGAGATTGTCAGGAGGAGGCCAGGTGATGATGAACCAGAGGCCACTAAGAGGAGACCTGGTAGGCCAGGTGATGATGAACCAGAGGCCACTAAGATGAGACCAGGTTGGCAAGGCGATGATGAACCAGAGACCACTAAGAGGAGACCAGGTAGGCCAGGTGATGATGAACCAGAGGCCACTAAGAGGAGACCAGGTAGGCCAGGTGATGATGAACCAGAGGTCACTAAGAGGAGACCAGGCAGGCCAGGTGATGATGAACCAGAGACCACTAAGAGGAGACCAAGAAACAGTGATGTGAACCAGAAATCACTAGCAGGAGACTGGGCAAATACAGGCATATTAACTGAGGCCAGAGGAGACCAGGCAGCACTAGGCAGATGATGAACCAGAGACCACAAGAGGAGACCAGGCAGGCCAGGTGATGATGAACCAGAAATCACTAAGAGGAGACCTGGCAGGCCAGGTGATGATGAACCAGAGGCCACTAAGAGGAGACCAGGCAGACCAGGTGATGATGAACCAGAGGCCACTAAGAGGAGACCAGGCAGACCAGGTGATGATGAACCAGAGGCCACTAAGAGGAGACCAGGCAGGCCAGGTGATGATGAACCAATAACCACTAAGAGGAGACCAAGTAGGCCAGGTGATGATGAAGCAGAAGTAACCGTGAAAAGATCATATGATGTAGATGAGAGAATCTATGGTAGGAAAGTGTCGAGTGAATCATTCCAAAGCAGTACTGTGAGGCACACGTCACACACCACCATGACATTGAGAGCTGAAGAGTCTTTCCATGAGGATCACCTCATTACCACTACTGCTAATATCCGGGAAACGTTAGAACCTGGCGAGCCACATACCCTTAAGCCTGAGAAACCAGTGAAAAAGGAAGGAAAGCTAGGTGAGGAAAAACCCAAAGATACAGCAAAGAAACCGAGAAGTACGGAGGAAGATGTGAAGGTGACAAAGAAGAAACCAGGAAGGCAAGCTGATGAACCCAAGTCGAATAAAACGAAGGTGGGCAAGGCAAAACCAGTGGTTGAACCAAAGACAATGAGCAGGCCAGGTGATGATGAACCAGAGGCCACTAAGAGGAGACCAGGCAGACCAGGTGATGATGAACCAGAGGCCACTAAGAGGAGACCAGGCAGACCAGGTGATGATGAACCAGAGGCCACTAAGAGGAGACCAGGTAGGCCAGGTGATGATGAACCTGAGGCAACTAAGAGGAGCCCAGGTAGGCCAGGTGATGATGAACCGGACGCCACTAAGAGGAGACCAGGTAGGCCAGGTGATGATAAACCAGAGGCCACTAAGAGGAGACCAGGTAGGCCAGGTGATGATAAACCAGAGGCCACTAAGAAGAGACCAGGCAGGCCAGGTGATGATAAACCAGACACCACTAAGAGGAGACCAGGCAAGCCAGGTGATGATGAACCACAGACCACTAAGTGGAGACCAGGCAAGCCAGGTGATGATGAACCAGAGGCCACTACTAGGAGGAGACCAGGTAGGCCAGGTCCAGGTGATGATGAACCAGAGGCCACTAAGAGGAGACCAAGTAGGCCAGGTGATGATGAACCAGAGACCACTAAGAGGAGACCAGGCAGGCCAGGTGATGATGAACCAGACACCACTAAGAGGAGACCAGGCAAGCCAGGTGATGATGAACCACAGACCACTAAGTGGAGACCAGGCAAGCCAGGTGATGATGAACCAGAGGCCACTAGGAGGAGACCAGGTAGGCCAGGTCCAGGTGATGATGAACCAGAGGCCACTAAGAGGAGACCAAGTAGGCCAGGTGATGATGAACCAGAGACCACTAAGAGGAGACCAGGCAGGCCAGGTGATGATGAACCAGAATCATTCAGACCAGTCGATATGATGCCAGAATTAATGGTAAAGACAACAACAGATGAAAGAGAAAAGGTTAGTATTAATGAAACTCTAAGTGAAACTTACCAAACTAGTGTGATCAAACATTCGACAGTGAGTCACCTTACAAGCACAACTCAAGATGTGCTGACGAGTCGATACATTGAAACAGAAGAGGTAACAGATGAGCCAAAGAAGATGCCAATGAAAGGAGATAAGCCCGTGAAACAGCCAGGCAAGCCAGGCGATGATGAACCAGAGACCACTAAGAGGAGACCAGGCAAGCCAGGTGATGATGAACCAGAGACCACTAAGAGGAGACCAGGCAAGCCAGGTGATGATGAACCAGAGACCACTAAGAGGAGACCAGGCAAGCCAGGCGATGATGAACCAGAGACCACTAAGAGGAGACCAGGCAAGCCAGGCGATGATGAACCAGCGTCCACTAAGAGGAGACCAGGTAGGCCAGGTGATGATGAACCTGAGGCAACTAAGAGGAGACCAGGTAGGCCAGGTGATGATGAACCAGAGACCACTATGAGGAGACCAGGTAGGCCAGGTGATGATGAACCAGAGGCCACTAAGAGGAGACCAGGCAAGCCAGGCGATGATGAACCAGAGACCACTATGAGGAGACCAGGTAGGCCAGGTGATGATGAACCAGCATCCACTAAGAGGAGACCAGGCAAGCCAGGCGATGATGAACCAAAGACCACTATGAGGAGACCAGGCAAGCCAGGTGATGATGAACCAGCATCCACTAAGAGGAGACCAGGCAAGCCAGGTGATGATGAACCAGAGACCACTAAGAGGAGACCAGGCAGGTGATGAAACCAGAGGCAAGAGAGACCAGGTAGGCCAGGTGATGATGAACCAGAGACCACTAAGAGGAGACCAGGCAAGCCAGGTGATGATGAACCAGAGACCATTAAGAGGAGACCAGGCAAGCCAGGTGATGATGAACCAGAGACCACTAAGAGGAGACCAGGTAGGCCAGGTGATGATGAACCAGAGGCCACTAAGAGGAGTCCTGGTAGGCCAGGGATGATGAACCAGAGGCCACTAAGAGAGACCAGTTAGGCCAGGTGATGATGAACCAGAGACCATTAAGAGGAGACCAGGCAAGCCAGGTGATGATGAACCAGAGACCACTAAGAGGAGACCAGGTAGGCCAGGTGATGATGAACCAGAGGCCACTAAGAGGAGACCTGGTAGGCCAGGTGATGATGAACCAGAGACCATTAAGAGGAGACCAGGTAAGCCAGGTGATGATGAACCAGAGGCCACTAAGAGGAGACCTGGTAGGCCAGGTGATGATGAACCAGAGACCACTAAGAGGAGACCTGGTAGGCCAGGTGATGATGAACCAGAGACCATTAAGAGGAGACCAGGTAAGCCAGGTGATGATGAACCAGAGGCCACTAAGAGGAGACCTGGTAGGCCAGGTGATGATGAACCAGAGGCCACTAAGAGCAGACCAGGCAAGCCAGGTGATGATGAAACAGACCACTAAGAGGAGACCAGGCAAGCCAGGTGATGTTGAACCAGAGACCACTAAGAGGAGACCAGGTAGGCCAAGTGATGATGAACCAGAGACCATTAAGAGGAGACCAGGCAAGCCAGGTGATGATGAACCACAGACCACTAAGAGGAGACCAGGCAAGCCAGGTGATCATGAACCAGAGGCCACTAAGAGGAGACCTGGTAGGCCAGGTGATGATGAACCAGAGGCCACTAAGATGAGACCAGGTTGGCAAGGCGATGATGAACCAGAGACCACTAAGAGGAGACCAGGCAAGCCAGGTGATGATGAACCAGAGACCACTAAGAGGAGACCAGGTAGGCCAGGTGATGTTGAACCAGAGGCCAGTAAGAGGAGACCAGGTATGCCAGGTGACGATGAACCAGAGGCCACTAAGAGGAGACCAGGCGGCCCGGCGATGATGACCCTGAGGCCACTAAGAGGAGACCAGGTAGGCCAGGTGATGATGAACCAGAGGCCACTAAGAGGAGACCAGGTAGGCCAGGTGATGCTGAACCAGAGGTCACTAAGAGGAGACCAGGAAGGCCAGGTGATGATGAACCGAGGCCACTAAGAGGAGACCAGGCAGGCCAGGTGATGATGAACCAGAGGTCACTAAGAGGAGACCAGGCAGACCAGGTGATGATGAACCAGAGACCACTAAGAGGAGACCAGGTAGGCCAGGTCCAGGTGATGATGAACCAGAAGCCACTAAGAGGAGACCAGGCAGGCCAGGTGATGATGAACCAGAATCATTCAGACCAGTCGATATGATGCCAGAATTAATGGTAAAGACAACAACAGATGAAAGAGAAAAGGTTAGTATTAATGAAACCTAAGTGAAACTTACCAAACTAGTGTGATCAAACATTCGACAGTGAGTCACCTTACAAGCACAACCAAGATGCTGACGAAGTCGATACATTGAAACAGAAGAGGTAACAGATGAGCCAAAGAAGATGCCAATGAAAGGAGATAAGCTCTAAACAGCCGGGCAAGCCAGGCGATGATGAACCAGCCCACTAAGAGGAGACCAGGCAAGCCAGGTGATGATGAACCAGAGACCACTATGAGGAGACCAGGCAAGCCAGGTGATGATGAACCAGAGACCACTATGAGGAGACCAGGCAAGCCAGGTGATGATGAACCAGCATCCACTAAGAGGAGACCAGGCAAGCCAGGTGATGATGAACCAGAGACCACTATGAGGAGACCAGGTAGGCCAGGTGATGATGAACCAGAGGCCACTAAGAGGAGACCAGGAAGCCAGGCGATGATGAACCAGACTGGAGAAAATAGGTGATGATGAACCAGAGGCCACTAAGAGGAGACCAGGCAAGCCAGGCGATGATGAACCAGAGACCACTATGAGGAGACCAGGTAGGCCAGGTGATGATGAACCAGAGACCAAGAGGAGACCAGGCAAGCCAGGTGATGATGAACCAGAGACCACTAAGAGGAGAACAGGCAAGCCAGGTGATGATGAACCAGTGATCACTAAGAGGAGACCAGGCAAGCCAGGTGATGATGAACCAGAGGCCACTAAGAGGAGACCAGGCAGGCCAGGTGATGATGAACCAGAGGCCAGTAAGAGGAGACCAGGTAGGCCAGGTGATGATGAACCAGAGACAACTAAGAGGAGACCAGGCAAGCTAGGTGATCATGAACCAGAGACCACTAAGAGGATCAAGCCAGGTGATGATGAACCAGTGACCATTAAGAGGAGACCAGGCAAGCCAGGTGATGATGAACCAGAGGCCACTAAGAGGAGACCAGCTAGGCCAGGTGATGATGAACCAGAGGGCACTAAGAGGAGACCAAGTAGGCCAGGTGATAATGAACCAGAGGGCACTAAGAGGAGACCAAGTAGGCCAGGTGATGATGAACCAGAGGCCACTAAGAGGAGACCAGGTAGGCCAGGTGATGATGAACCAGAGGCTACTAAGAGGAGACCAGGCCGGCCAGATGATAATAAACCAGAATCAACTGAGGAGTCTGTGTTGACTGTTACTGACAGTGAAATGTCAAGTACATATCATGAGACTTTTGTGACTAGCGCAACAGTTGATTTGTCGTGCAATATGTCAAGTTCTTTTGTTAAGGAAGAAGCTTGTTACTATGAGACATGCGAGTCTTCGAGTAGTACAAGTAGTTCTAGTAGTGAGTCTGACACAAGTGATTCGGGCAAGAGTGACAAAGAAAAGAAAAAGAAAAATCAGAAGAAAAAAGTGAGTAAGTTGGTGAGAACCAAAAGAAATAAGTGAAAGTACAACCAAGAAAAGGGTGAAAGACTCGGAAAATAAAATAAAATTGAGAGTTCGTAAGAGTGAGCCAGAGAGCACAGAAAAGAAAAGAACTGTAGATGAACCCCACAAGGTGAAGAGGACTGCCAGAGAACCTAAAGCCTCATTAAAGAGACCAGAAACACCAGGTGATAAAGAACCAAAGAAAACTAAGAGAGAACCAGGTAAGCCCGATGTCTCTGAACCAGAAAAAACAAATTTGAAACCTGTAAGACCTGACGATCTTGAAGCAGAAACCAATAAGAAACCTAGAAGTAGACCACACGGTCAACCAGAAAATATTAAAAAGCCTGTCGATGAAAAACCAAAAGTAATAATGAGAAAACCACGTGATGAAACAGAGCCACTCAAAAAGATATCTGGATTTCATGATAAGCCAGACACTACCAGGAAAACACCTTCAAGGTCAGACAAGAAACCAGAAGGAATTAAGGTCAAGCCAGGCAGGTTGAGCGATGAACCAGACACAACGAAGAAGAGTCCAACTAGGCCAGGTGATGAACCAAGGACAGTCAGGAGGAGGCCAGGTGAAGAACCAGAGACAGTCAGGAGGAGGCCAGGCGATGAACCAGACACAAGGAAGAAGAGTCCAACTAGGCCAGGTGATGAACCACAGACAGTCAGGAGGAGGCCAGGTGATGAACCAGAGACAGTCAGGAGGAGGCCAGGCGATGAACCAGACACACGGAAGAAGAGTCCAACTAGGCCAGGTGAAGAACCACAGACAGTCAGAGGAGGCCAGGCGATGAACCAGACACACGGAAGAAGAGTCCAACAGGCCGGGTGATGAACCAAGACAGTCAGGAGGAGGCCAGGTGATGAACCAGACACACGGAAGAAAGTCCAACTAGGCCAGGTGATAACCGGAGACAGTCAGAGGAGGCCAGGTGATGAACCAGAGACAGTCACGAGGAGGCCAAGATGAGCCAGAGACAGTCACGAGGAGGCCAGGTGATGAGCCAGAGACAGTCACGAGAGGCCAGGTGATGAGCCAGAGACAGTCAGAGGAGGCCAGGTGATGAGCCAGAGACAGTCACGAGGAGGCCAGGTGATGAGCCAGAGACAGTCACGAGAGGCCAGGTGATGAGCCAGAGACAGTCAGGAGGAGGCCAGGATGAACCAGACACACGGAAGAAGAGTCCAACTAGGCCAGGCGATGAACCAGAGACAGTCAGGAGGAGGCCAGGTGATGGACCAGACACAAGAAAGAAGAGTCCAACTAGGCCAGGTGATGAACCAGAAACTGTCAGGAGGAGGCCAGGCGATGAACCAGACACACGGAAGAAGAGTCCAACTGGCCAGGCGATGAACCAGAGACAGTCAGGAGGAGGCCAGGTGATGGACCAGACACAAGAAAAGAAAGTCAACTAGGCCAGGTGATGAACCAGAGACAGTCAGGAGGAGGCCGGCGATGAACCAGACACACGGAAGAAGAGTCCAACTAGGCCAGGTGATGAACCAGAGCGGTCAGGATGAGGCCAGGTGATGAACCAGACACACGGAAGAAGAGTCCAACTAGGGCTAAGGACAACGAGACAGTCAGAGGAGGCCAGGTGATGAACCAGAGAGTGTCAGGAGGAGGCCAGGTGATGAACCAGAGGCGGTCAGGATGAGGCCAGGTGATGAACCAGAGACAGTCAGGAGGAGGCCAGGTGATGGACCAGACACAAGGAAGAAGAGTCCAACTAGGCCAGGATGAACCAGAGACAGTCAGGGAGGAGGCCAGGCAGATGAACCAGAGACAGTCGAGGAAGGGGGTGATGAACCAGAGGCGGTCAGGATGAGGCCAGGTGATGAACCAGACAAGGGAAGAAGAGTCCAACTAGGCCAGGTGATGAACCAGAGACAGTCAGGAGGAGGCCAGGTGATGAACCAGAGACAGTCAGGAGGAGGCCAGGTGATGGACCAGACACAAGGAAAAGAGTCCAACAGGCCAGTGATGAACCAGAGACAGTCAGGAGGAGGCCAGTGATGAACCAGACACACGAAGAAGAGTCCAACTAGGCCAGGTGATGAACCAGAGACAGTCAGGAGGAGGCCAGGCGATGAACCAGACACAAGGAAGAAGAGTCCAACTAGGCCAGGTGATGAACCAGAGGCGGTCAGGATGAGGCCAGGTGATGAACCAGAGACAGTCAGGAGGAGGCCAGGTGATGAACCAGACACAAGGAAGAAGAGTCCAACTAGGCCAGGTGATGAACCAGAGACAGTCAGGAGGAGGCCAGGCGATGAACCAGAGACAGTCAGGAGGAGGCCAGGTGATGGACCAGACACAAGAAAGAAGAGTCCAACTAGGCCAGGTGATGAACCAGAGACAGTCAGGAGGAGGCCAGGCGATGAACCAGACACACGGAAGAAGAGTCCAACTAGGCCAGGTGATGAACCAGAGGCGGTCAGGATGAGGCCAGGTGATGAACCAGACAGTCAGGAGGAGGCCAGGTGATGATGAACCACAAATCACAGAGGAGGAGGCCAGGGAGGCCAGGTGATGATGAACCAGAAACCATTAAGAGCAGACCGGGCAGGCCAGGTGATGATGAACCAGAGACCACTAAGAGGAGACCAGGCAGGCCAGGTGATGATAACCAGAGACCACTAAGAGGAGACCAGGCAGGACAGTTGATTATGAAACCAGATGCCACTAAGAGGAGACCAGGCAGGCCAGGTGATGATAAACCAGAGTCACTCAGAGGAGACCAGGCAGGCCAGGTGATGATGAACCAGAGGTCACGAAGAAGAAACCAGGCAGGCCAGGTGATGATGAACCAGAGGTCACTAAGAGGAGGCCAGGAAGGCCAGGTGATGATGAACCAGTGTGCCACAAGAGGAGACCAGGCAGGCAGGTGATGATGAACCAGAGGCTATTAAGAGCATACCGGGCAGGCCAGGTGATGATGAACCAGAGATCACTAAGAGGAGATCAGGTAAGGGTGATGATGAACCAGAGGCCAGTAAGAGGAGACCAGGCAGGCCAGGTGATGATGAACCAGAGGTCACTAAGAGGAGACCAGGCAACCAGGTGATGATGAACCAGAGGTCACTAAGAGGAGATCAGGTAGGCCAGGTGATGATGAACCAGAGGCTAAGAGGAGACCAGGCAGACCAGGTGATCATGAACCAGAGGTCACTAAGAGGAGACCAGGTAAGCCAGGTGATGATGAACCAGAGGCCACTAAGAGGAGACCAGGCAGGCCAGGTGATGATGAACCAGAGACCACTAAGAGGAGACCAGGCAGGCCAGGTGATGATGAACCAGAAGTCACTGAGATGAGACCAGGCAGGCCAGGTATGATGAACCAGAGACCACTAAGAGGAGACCAGGCAGGCCAGGTGAGTGAACCAGAGGCCACTAAGGAGACCAGGGCAGGCCAGGTGATCATGAACCAGGTCACTGAGGAGACCAGGCAGACCAGGTGAACCAGAGGTCATAAGAGGAGACCAGGTGAAGCCAGGTGATGATGAACCAGAGGCCTGGGGAGACCAGGCAGGCCAGGTGATGATGAACCAGGACCACTAAGGAGACCAGGCAGGCCAGGTGATGATGGACAGAGTCACTGAGATGAGACCAGGCAGGCCAGGTGATGATGAACCAGAGACCACTGGGGAGACCAGGCAGGCCAGGTGAGTGATGAACCAGGGCCACTGAGGAGACCAGGCAGGCCAGGTGATGATGAACCAGAGACCACTAAGAGGAGACCAGGCAGGCCAGGTGATGACAGAGGTCACTGAGATGAGACCAGGCAGGCCAGGGTGATGAACCTGGTCACTAGAGGGAGACCAGGCAGGCCAGGTGATGTGACCTGGGGCCATTGGGAGACCAGGCAGGTGGTGTGTGAACCAGGACCACTGGAGGACCAGGTGGGCGGGTGATGATGAACCAGGGCCACTAAGGGGACCAGGCAGGCCAGGTGATGAGACCAGAGGACACTGGGAGACCAGGCGGGCCAGGTGGTGATGAACCAGGGACCACTAGTAGGAGACCAGGTAGACCAGGTGATGGTGAACCAGGGGTCACTGGGAGACCAGGCAGGCCAGGTGATGATGAACCAGGGGGCATTAAGAGGAGACCAGGCAGGCCAGGTGATGTTGAACCAGAGGCCATTAAGAGGAGACCAGGCAGGCCAGGTGATGATGAACCAGAGACCACTGGAGACCAGGCAGGCCAGGTGATGATGAACCTGAGCCACTAAGGAGACCAGGCACCTGGTGATGATGAACCAGAGACCATTAAGAGGAGACCAGGCAGGCCAGGTGATGATGAACCTGGCCACTAAGAGGAGACCAGGCAGGGGTGATGATGAACCAGAGGTCACAGAAGAGACCAGGCAGGCCAGGTGGATGATGAACCAGGGTCACTAAGAGGAGACCAGGCAGGCCAGGTGATGATGAACCAGAGGTCACTAGAGGGAGACCAGGCAGGCCAGGTGATGATGAACCAGGGTCACTAAGAGGAGACCAGGCAGGCCAGGTGATGATGAACCAGGGCCATTAAGAGGAGACGGAGGCAGGTGATGTTGAACCAGAGGCCATTAAGGAGACCAGGCAGGCCAGGTGATGATGAACCAGAGACCACTAAGAGGAGACCAGGCAGGCCAGGTGATGATGGACCTGGAGCCACTAAGAGGAGACCAGGCAGGCCAGTTGAGTGAACCAGAGGACACTGGGAGACCAGGCAGGCCAGGTGGTGATGAGACCAGGAGGTCACTAAGAGGAGACCAGGCAGGCCAGGTGATGAACCAGGGTCTGAGGAGACCAGGCAGGCCAGGTGATGGACAGGGGGCCACTGGGAGACCAGGCAGGCCAGGTGATGAACCAGGGGTCACTAAGAGGAGACCAGGCAGGCCAGGTGATGAACCAGAGGACTAACAGGGAGACCAGGCAGGCCAGGTGATGATGAACCAGAGACCACTAGAGAGGACCAGGTAGGCCAGGTGATGAACCAGAGTCACTGGGATGAGACCAGGCAGGCCAGGTGAACCAGAGGCCACTAAGACCAGGCAGGCCAGGTGATGATGAACCAGAAACTATGAGGAGACCAGGCAGGCCAGGTGATGATGAACCAACTGAGAGTCATCAGTGGTTCTTCAAGATAATCTTCCCGAAAGTGGAACTCCGAGGAAGAAATCTCTTATACCTGTTTCTGGGTCAATCAGGAAAACTTCTGGTGTTACTGGTGCTCTTGAACCACATGAACGAAATCTTGACGAACCAGAGATCAGTAAGATGAGACCAGACTGGCCAGGTGATGAACCTAACAGAAGGCAGAAGAGTCCAACTAGGCCAAATGATGAACCAGACACAAGGAAGAAGAGGCCAGGTGATGAACCAGAAACTGGCAGGAGGAAGCCAGGTGATGAACCAGAACCAATGAAGAAGATTCCAAGTAGGCCAGGTGATGAACCAGAGACTGTCAGGTGGAGGCCAGGTGATGAACCAGAGACTGTCAGGAGGAGGCCAGGTGATGAACCAGAGACTGTCAGGAGGAGGCCAGGTGATGAACCAGAAGCAAGGAAGAAGAGTCCAAGTAGGCCAGGTGATGAACCAGGGCTGTCAGGAGGAGGCCAGGTGATGAACCAGAGACTGTCAGGAGGAGGCCAGGTGATGAACCAGAACCAATGAAGAAGATTCCAAGTAGGCCAGGTGATGAACCAGGAGGCTGTCAGGAGGAGGCCAGGTGATGAACCAGAGACTGTCAGGAGGAGGCCAGGTGATGAACCAGAGACTGTCAGGAGGAGGCCAGGTGATGAACCGGAGACTGTCAGGAGGAGGCCAGGTGATGAACCAGAAGCAAGGAAGAAAGGAGTCCAAGTAGGGAGTGATGAACCAGGGGCTGTCAGGAGGAGGCCAGGTGATGAACCGGGAGACTGTCAGGAGGAGGCCAGGTGATGAACCAGAGGCTGTCAGGAGGAGGCCAGGTGATGAACCAGACACAGGGAAGAGTCCAACTAGGCCAGGTGATGAACCAGGGACTGGCAGGAGGAGGCCAGGTGATGAACCAGAGAAAGTCATTAGGAGGCCAGGTGATGAGCCAAAGACAGTCAGGAGGAGGCAGGTGATGAACCAGAGACAGTCATGAGGGAGGCCAGGTGATGAACCAGAGACTGGCAGGAGGAGGCCAGGTGATGAACCAGAAAGTCATTAGGAGGCCAGGTGATGAGCCAAAGACAGTCAGGAGGAGGCCAGGTGATGAACCAGAGACAGTCATGAGAGGCCAGGTGATGAACCAGAGACTGAGGAGGTGGTGAACCAGAGAAAGTCATTAGGAGGCCAGGTGATGAGCCAGAGACAGTCATGAGGAGGCCAGGTGATGAACCAGAGACTGGCAGGAGGAGGCCAGGTGATGAACCGGAGTCATTGGAGGCCAGGTGATGAACCAGAGACTCTCAGGAGGAGGCCAGGTGATGAACCGGAGACTGATAGGGAGGCCAGGTGATGGGAGATTGTCAGGAGGCCAGGTGATGAACCAGAGATTGACAGAAGGAGGCCAGGTGATGAACCAGGGATTGTCAGGAGGCCAGGTGATGAACCGGAGACTGGCAGGAGGAGGCCAGGTGATGAACCAGAGATTGTGAGGAGGAGGTCAGGTGATGAACCAGACACTGGCAGGAGGAGGCCAGGTGATGAACCAGAGGCCACTAAGAGGAGACCTGGCAGGCCAGGTTATGATGAACCAGACGCCACGAAGAGGAGACCGGGCAAACCAGGTGATGATGAACCAGAGGGCACTAGGAGGAGACCAGGCAGGCCAGGTGATCATGAACCAGGGTCCACTAAGAAGAGACCAGGCAGGTCAGGTGATCATGAACCAGAGGCCACTAAGAGGAGGCCAGGTAGGACAAGTGATGATGAAACAGGAAGAATCGTTAGGCCTATTAGTAGGGAGTCCGATGTTAACATGAAGACACCCAGTAGAAAGTCCAGCAAACCTGGTTCTACAATGCCGGAGTACCCCAGCAGGAGGCCGCAGAAACCCAGTGATGACCTTCCCGAGAAGACAGCTGTCAGGAGACGTAGTAAACTGAACGACAAAGAGCCGGAAACCAATTGTAGAAAGCCAATTCGACAAGGGGATCCAGAACCTGTTAAATCCATCACCAAACCTGGTAAACCACTCGACAAAGAACCGGAGAGAGAAACCGAGCCGTGTCAAGAGAACTGAGAAGCGTTTAAGCAGCACAAGTATTGACAGGACTGATGTTATCACAAGCAGAAGGTCACCGTTCTCAGGAAGGGACTCGACCCCAGAACCAGACGACACTAAACACCGCTTGCAGAACTTCTACACCCAGGAAGTCATCCATCGACGACAGTCGTGTCCGTCGAAGAACACCTAGTGTGGACATGGACACGAGAACACACAGCATGCAGTCACTATCAGGCGTTTCCACTACCAGCTCTGTCCCCAGCTACATGAGGCCAAAGGGGGAGTCGTGCAGCTGCCGCCGCCATACTCCTGAGAGAGATATTCACGAAGTAGAGAATGCCCTTCTTAATGCCTATCAATACATCCGCTGCACCAAGAAGATCTCCAAGCCCGCGTGACCTATCACTACACGTACACCGTCATGGACACTGCTGGTGGTGGGTGGTGGTGGTGAGTGGTGGGTCCTCCATTTACTTTGGTCCAAAGGAAGGACCTGTCCCTGCAGAATCTGCCACTCGACCATCACCTTCCCGGGAAACACCACACCACCCATCAGACCGTCGACCAGGTGAACCATCAGACCGTCGACCAGGTGAACCATCAGACCGTCGACCAGGTGATTGGATTGTGTATGGAGGTGAACTATCAGACCGTCGACCAGGTGAACCATTAGACCATCGACCAGGTGAACCATCAGACCGTCAACCAGGTGAACCATTAGATCGTCAAACAGGTGAACCATCAGACCGTCGACCAGGTGAACCATCAGATCGTCGACCAGGTGATTGGATTGTTTATGGAGGTGAACCATCAGACCGTCGACCAGGTGAACCATCAGACCGTCGACCAGGTGAACCATCAGATCGTCGCCCAGGTGAACCATCAGATCGTCAACCAGGTGAACCATCAGATCGTCGACCAGGTGAACAATCAGACCATCGACCAGGTAAACCATCAGACCGTCGACCAGGTGAACCATCAGACCATCGACCAGGTGAGCCATCAGACCTTCGACCAGGCGAACCATCAGACCGTCGACTAGGTGAACCATCAGATCGTCGACCAGGTGTACCATCAGACCATCGACCAGGTAAACCATCAGACCGTCGACCAGGTGAACCATCAGACCATCGACCAGGTGAGCCATCAGACCTTCGACCAGGTGAACCATCAGACCGTCGACCAAGTGAACCATCAGACCTTCGACCAGGTGAACCATCAGACCGTCGACTAGGTGAACCATCAGATCGTCGACCAGGTGTACCATCAGACCATCGACCAGGTGAACCATCAGACCGTCGACCAGGTGAACCATCAGACCGTCGACCAGGTGAACCATCAGACCGTCGACCAGGTGAACCGTCAGATCGTCGACCAGGTGATTGGATTGTTTATGGAGGTAAACCATCAGACCGTCGACCAGGTGAACCATCAAATTATCGACCAGGTGAACCATCAGATCGTCGACCAGGTGATTGGATTGTTTATGAGGTGAACCATCAGACCGTCGACCAAGTGAACCATCAGATCGTCGACCAGGTGCACCATCAGACCGTCAACCAGGTGAACCATCAGGCAGTCGACCAGGTCATTGGATTGTTTATGAGTGAACCATCAGACCGTCGACCAGGTGAACCATCAGATCGTCGACCAGGTGAACCATCAGACCATCGACAGACCGTCGACCAGGTGAACCATCAGATCGTCGACCAGGTGAACCATCAGATCGTCAACCATGTGATTGGATTGTGTATGGAGGTGAACCATCAGACCATCGACCAGGTGAACCATCAGAGCATCGACCAGGTGAACCATCAGATCGTCGACCAGGTGAACCATCAGACCGTCGACCAGGTGAACCATCAGATCCTCGAACGGGTGAACCATCAGACCATCGACCGGGTGAACCATCAGACCCTCGACCAGGTGAACCATCAGACCGTCGACCGGGTGAACCATCAGACCGTCGACCAGGTGAACCATCAGAGCGTCGACCAGGTGAACCATCAGAGCGTCGACCAAGTGAACCATCAGACTCGTAGACTCCGCCGTGCACGACCACTATACCCGAAGGCTTGACGTGCGCGGTAGTATTGACACGCGCCGTACACACAGGTATTCCACACATCACTCTGAGGCACACAAGGACATAACACCTATTATCTACCGGACAAGTGTGGGTCGTGACGAAGGCCCCATACAGGAGCGTCCCCACGTTAGTAGCGGGGAAGAGCGACCCGCGCCACACCATATCTCATCGTCACTACAGGATGAAAATCTCTACACAGACTGATAAGACAAACCAATATGAATCAGGAGTGTTTGACTCCACCAACACGATGACCTCCACGTGTGCCACAGACGGTGGTGGTGAGGCGGTTGGCCACCAGCTGGACCAGAGTGGCGGGGGACACACAGCCCGCCACCAGCATTACTCGTGGGGACTACATCACCCTCCAGCGTGACAGTACAGGTAGTAGAAGGCTGGAGGGAGACAGCCGGGTCGCGGGTGACTACACAGTAATGACTTCTGACGGACGACCCACGCACGACACTGCTGGGTACGTCAGGTCTGGTATGATGGCGAGGGGTCGTGGCGTGTCGTAGGCGGCCGCCGTGATGCCCAGCTGTCGTCCAGCAGCTGGGAACAGGAGCAGCAGCGATCAGCCACTAGTGAGCGTCGTAAGTGGTCGGTCACCTGTTGTAGCGGGAAGGTGTTGCCGCCCTCACCTGCTGCCACCGTTCTCTGCATCGCCATTACTGCTTTTCACGTTACCTAACTGCCTTTAGCAAACCTTGAGAATCTGTCCTTGGTGGAAGTGACGACCACAGGTACATGATGTGGTACAACTAATGATAAGTTACTTTCCCCCAACAGCGACGCTGTGACTCCACCTTAAGCTTTAACTTCTTCCATTGTTACAGACGTGGAGTAGCTCCTCCAGGTGTATATTACTGGTAATACTCAAACTTTTTAATACTAAGTGATGGTGTACTGTGGGTGTACATTGTGGCACCTCCCTGTGGCTGCTGTATTGTACTGTATGCTCCAGGTTGCGGGTCGCCTCCAACACTGACATTTACCACAAGAACAATCTTAACCACCTTACACAATTTGACTCATGTAAATGTGTTTGGGTGTGGGGCTGTGCATTGGATGTAGTTGATGGCTCCTTTGTCATATGACACTTTGGTTCGTTTGGCAGTGGGTTTTGATCATGGGGACTGATCAGGGTTTTTGGGTTGGCATCCGTCATTTGCCTTTACGTCATTTTGTATTTATGGGCGTTTTTCATAAAATGGGTTTATGGCAGCAGGGTTCTTGGTAGCTAGGCAAACTGGTTTGGGTCAAAACCCCTTACTTAAAATCCATGACTATCAACATATAGTCAACACACCATCACCATGCCTTTCTTATATGGCAACGGTAGTGTCAAATGGTCTTTGACGGTTGGTTGATCGGGTTCAACGGTTCATAATTGCGATAAATCACGTTATAACATCATTTCTTCTGGAATATATGGCATTACAAAATCACGTTCTTCATGACTAAGAATCATCTTGTCATCATATTTAACGTCATCATAAAACATTTAAATTCATCATGGTCTTCATCGCTGTGACTAAGTCATCACTTCCACTGTAAGTCTTCATGCTGTGACTTGTTCACAGGGTTTTATTTGTTCGTCGATCATCTTACTTCATTCGTCTGATATACTTGGCATTTCATCTTGCTTATTGCATTCGTCCTCACCACTGACTTCGTCTTCACCATGACATTACTAATCACCCTTCCTTCATCCTCACCTACTGCCTTCATCCTCACCCACTGCCTTCATCCTCACCCCTGCCTTCATCCTCACCCACACCCCTTCATCCTCACCCACTGCCTTCATCCTCACCTGCCTTCATCCTCACCCACTGCCTTCATCCTCACCCACTGCCTTCATCCTCACCCACTGCCTTCATCCTCACCTACTGCCTTCATCCTCACCTACTGCTTTCACCCTGACTTGCTCAGTCCTCAGCGTGCACACATGGGCAAGAAGCCTGTTTGACCACCATCTAGGAGATGAACAGGTGTTAGCAGGTGTTAGCAGCTGGAGGTCATAGGTGTTAGCAGGTGTCTCGTTTGCCCTCCCACCTGTCCATATTCTCTAAGATGCCGCCATGTGTGTGTGTGTGTGTGTGTGTGTGTGTGTGTGTGTGTTGCAAATAAGTTCTTTATACGGTATACTGTCACGACACGACGCTCACAATGTTGTCCAAGTTTATCTGTGACCACCACAACTATACGGTTCCTTCCCCAGACTCCCTCTCCCAGGCGTAGGACCTCCTCAGGTGTGGGACCTACCACCAAGTGTAGGACCTCCCACAGATGTGGACCTCTCCCAAGGTGTGGGACCTACCACCAGGTGTGGGACCTACCCCAGGTGGGACCTCCCCTAGGTGTGGGACCTTCCCCAGGTGTGGGACCTCCCACCAGGTGTGGGACCTACCCCAGGTGAAGGACCTCTTCCTGGGTGTGGGACCTTCCCCAGGTGTGGGACCTCCCACCAGGTGTGGGACCTCCACTAGGTATGGGACCTCCCCGGTTGTGGACCACCCCGGGTATAGGCCTCCCCGGTGTGGGAACCCTCCCCGGGTATAGGACATTCCCCGGGTATAGGAACACCCAGGGTGTAGGACCCCTCCTCGCGTGTGGGCCCCGCCCGGATGTGGGATACCCCCGGGTGTGGGACCTCCCCGGTGTAAGACCTCCCCGGGTGTAAGACCTCCCAGTGTGGGACCTCCCGGGTGTGGGACCTTCCCCAGGTGTGGGACCTCCCGTGTATAGAGAACCTCCCCATTATAGGACCTCTCCCATGTATAGGGCCCCCAGGGGAATAGGAACATCCCGGGTGTGGGACCTCCCCAGGTGTGGGACCTCCCCGTGTGTAGGGACCTCCCCGGGTGTGGGACCTCCCACGGGTGTAAGACCTCCCACGGGTGTGGGACCCTCCGCGGGTTTAGGATCCTCCCCAGGTGTAGGACCTTCCGTGTATAGGACCTCCTTGGTGTGGGACCCTTCCCGGGTGTGGGGACCTCCCCGGGTGTAGGATGTCCCACCGGGTGTAGGATCTCCCCAGGGTGTAGGATCTCCCCCGGGTAGACGACCTCCTCGTGTATAGGACCTCCCCATGTATAGGACCCTCCTCGCATGTAAGACCCCCCACCCGGATGTAGGACCTTGTCCAGGTGTGGGACCTCCATGGTGTATGACCTCCCGGGTATAAGACCTCCCCAGTGTAGGACCCTCCCGGGTGTGGGACCCTCCCGGGATTAGGACCTCAACGGGTGTGGGACCATCTCTGGGTATAAGACCTCCCCGGGTGTGGGCCCTCACGCATATAGGACCTCCCCGTGTATAGGACCTCCCGGGTGTCAGAATCCTCCCGGGTGTAGGACCCTCCCGGGTGTGGGACCCTCCCGGGTGTGGGACCCTCCCGGGTGTAGGACCCTCCTGGGTGTGGGACCTCCCTGGTATAAAATCGGTTTAAGACCTCCCCGTGTATAGGACCTCCGGGTGTCGAATCCTCCCGGGTGTAGGACCCTCCCGGTGTGGGACCCTCCCGGGTGTAGGACCCTCCCCGGGTGTAGGACCCTCCCGGGTGTAGTGACCCTCCTGGGTGTGGGACCTCCCCTGGTATAAGACATCCCCGGTTTAGACCTCCCCGTGTATAGGACCTCCCGGGTGTAGAATCCTCCCGGATGTGGGACCCTCCCGGGAGGACCCTCCCGGGTGTAGGACCTTCCGGTTTAGGGCCCTCTCGGGTGTAGGACCCTCCCTGTTGTAGGACCTCCCGGGTGTAGGGACTCCCCGTGTATAGGACCTCCTGGTGTAGGACCCTCCCCAGTTGTAGGACCCTTCCCGGGTGTCGACCCTCCCGGGCTTACGACCCTCCCCTGGTGTAGGACCCTCCCGGATATAGGACCTCCCCGTGTATAGGACCTCCTCCGTGTGAAAGACTTCCCCGGGTGTGGGACCTCTCCCCAGGTGTGGGACCTCCTCCGTGTATAGGACTTCCTGGTGTGGGACCATCCCGTTGAAGGACCTCCCATGTGTAGGATCTTCTTTGTGTATAGGACCTCCCGGGTGTAGGACCTCCTCGTGTATAGGACCTCATCCTGAAAGACTTCCCCGTGTATAGGACCTCCTCCCAGGTGTTGGGGGACCTCCCCAGGTGTGGGACCTCCCCTGGTGTGGGACCTCTTCCGTGTATAGGACCTCCAACAGGTGTGGGACCTCCCCCGTGTATAGGACCTCCTGAGGCTTAAACCTCCCCGGGTGGAGGACCTCTTCCAGGTGTGGACCTCCCCTGGTGGGGACCTCCAACAGGTGTGGGACCTCCAACAGGTGTGGGACCTCTTCCAGGTGTGGAGCTCCCCTGGTGTAGGACCTCCAACAGGTGTAGGACCTCCCCTGGTGTGGGACCTCCCCTGGTGTGGGACCTCCAACAGGTGTGGGACCTCCTCCAGGTGTGAATGCACCTCCCGGGTGAGGGACCTCCCCTGTGTAGGACCTCCCCAGGGCGTAAGACCTCCCCGGGTGGAGGACCTCTTCCAGGTGTGGGACCTCCCCTGGTGTGGGACCTCCTCCAGGTGTAGTACCTCCCCGGTAGAGGACCTCCCCGCTGTAGGACCTCACCCGGGCGTAGACCTCACCGGGTGAGGACCTCTTCAGTGTGGGACCTCCCCTGGTGTAGGACCTCCTCTCAGATGTGGGACCTCTCCCAGGTGTGGGACCTCCCCTGGTGTGGGACCTCCCCTGGTGTGGGACCTCCCCCAGGTGTGAGGACTCCCCCTGGTGTGGGACCTCCAACAGGTGTAGGACCTCCAACAGGTGTGGGACCTCTTCCAGGTGAGACCTCCCCTGGTGTAGGACCTCCAACAGGTGTGGGACCTCCCGTGTATAGGACCTCGCCAAATGTAGGATCTCCCCGTGTATAGGACCTCCCCGAGCGTAAGACCTCCCGGGTGGAGGGCCTCTTCCAGGTGTGGGACCTCCTCCAGGTGTGGGACCTCCCTGGTGTGGGACCTCCTCCAGGTGTAGGACCTCCCGGGTGAGGACCACCCCGTGTATAGGACACCTCCCGGGCGTAAGACCTCCCGGGTGGAGGACCTCCCCTGGTGTGGGACCTCCTCCAGGTGTGGGAGCTCTCCCGGGTATGGGACCTCCCCGTGTATAGGACCTCACCCGGGCGTAAGACCTACAG